GTTCGAATCCCTAGTGCTGCGTAACAGGGTGAGCTCCCGTGACTTGTCCCAGCTTCTGCCAACCTAGCAGTTCAAAAGCATGTAAAAAATGCAAGTAGAGAAATAGGGACCACCTTTGGTGGGAAGGGAACAGTGTTCCGTGCACCTTTGGCATTTAGTCATGCCAGCCACATGACCATGGAGACGTCCTAAGACAGCGCTGGCTCTTCAGCTTTGAAACGGAGATGAGCACCGCCCCCTAGAGTCGGGAACGACTAGCACAGATGTGCGAGGGGGACCTTTACCTTTACCTATAAATTATTCCTATAGTGAGGTCAAGGTATTGACAGGTCCAAGTAGTCACTCAAAATCAAGCCCAGCTCAGCGGGATCTAATACAGGTTTTTGTTTTTTTAAAAAATTTGATTTATATGCCGCCCTTCTCCGAAGACTCAGGGCGGCTTACAATGCGTTAAGCAATAGCCTTCATCCTTTTGTATATTTATACAAAGTCAGTTTATTGCCCCCACAATCCAGGTCCTCATTTTACCTACCTCAGAAGGATGGAAGGCTGAGTCAACCTTGAGCCTTGGCGAGATTCGAACCTGCAGTAATTGCAGGCAGCTGGTCTTAATAACAGGGTGCTTTAGACCACTGTACTACCAAGGCTCTACGAGTTAGTCCTTGAACTCCTTAAGGGAGTTCATTTAGTGACCAGTTGCAATGGCACTGAAAAAAGCGACTTATGGGCCTTTTCACACTTTTGACCATTGCAGCATCCCCACGGTCACATCATCAAAATTCAGATATTTGGCAACTGACTCATATTTATGACGGTTCCCGCATCTTGGGGCCATGCAATCCCCTTTTGTGACCTACTGACAAGCAAAGTCAACGGGGAAGCCAAATTCACGTTAACAACTGTGTTACTAATTTAACTGCTGCAATGATTCACTTAACAACTGTGGCAATAAAGGGCAAAACTCACTTAACAACTGTCTCGCATATCAGCAGAAACGCTGGGCTCCGTTGTGGTCGTAAGTCTAGGATTACCTGTGTTCATTGTCATTGTTTCACAGAACGACCAATGGCTGTTTGGTCGTTCTAAGGAGAAGAGGAACTTCATGCAGAGCAAGGAACTTTGGTGGGTGAAGATCAATCACAGCAAAACAGGGACGGACAGCAGCTGCTCTACAGTTCTAATAAAAGATTACGCAAACAATAACAGCCGCATCGTTCCACTGGATTTTTGACGGATTGTTGCCTGAATCTGAATCTGAACTTTATCCTGTTTGTGATTTTTTTTTTAAAAAAAAAAACCTCACATCATGTTAAAGGCCCTCGTGAGCAGAATAAAGATTTGAAAATATTTTTGATGAGTAAATAGCTTGGACAACTGACTTTTGAAGGCTTTTTAATTTAGTTGGGATTCCAGTTCAGGAGTAGGACTCCAAAGCAGTTTCCCATGAGGCACTTGGAAAAGAGCAGAAGGCAAATCAGTCGTCGTTGGCTTTTATCTATGAAGTATGGCTGGGTCAAGAAAAACAATTTCTTTAATCCTTCCTGTCTCCACCTCCATTAATTCCTCATCCTGTTGAGGTCAGTTTGGACAGCCTTTAATCCACCTCCAGGTGGTCACTGTAATCCTACCTTCTGACCTACAAGATTGGCTAGGCCTAAGCCAGGGGTCAGCAACCTGAGGCTCTGGAGCTGCATGTGGCTCTTTCACCCCTCTGCTGCGGCTCCCTGTCACTCAAAATATGCATCACAACTGCCAATGTGTGATATTTGCCGGCACATGATTTATTGAGCTTTTCAACCCCCGGTAGGCCAACCATGGATAAATCCAAGAAAAGAAAAGTTTCAGAAGAAAACAGAATGTTTAATTCAATTACATATGCTAGTTTTGTGGCTGCTAAGGAAATAGTCAGGCACGGGAAGGGTTTTGTGGCTCCCGGTGTTTTCTTTTCTGTGGGAAATGGGTCCAAATGGCTCTTTGAGGGTTTAAGATTGCAGCCCCCTGGCCTAAGCAGAGTGGAGAGGAACATCTTGCTGCCATGGCACGTGGTATGCATGGAAAATGATACAAAATCTATTTTCAGCACTTCCAGTTAAGTTATTCCAATTATTAAGGGACGTAACCGTTGCCAATTTCTGGACACCCACCTAACTCTTTTCATACAACTCAGTCACTACTTACCTGCTTGTCTTGAATAAGGGAGGGAGGGATGAAGAGGAGGGAGGGAAAGAGGGTTGATGGAAGGAAGAGGAAAAGGAGGGAGGGAGGGAGGGAGGGAGGGAGGGAGGGAGGGAGGAAGGAAGGAAGGAAGGAAGGAAGGAAGGAAGGAAGGAAGGAAGGAAGGAAGGAAGGAAGGAAGGAAGGATTTTTATTGCATTTTATTTTGATTTCCCCTGAAGGCTGAGATGACGCAGCTATGACAGGGCTGTTTCTCAGCTCGCTTGTCCCAGTGATTTATTGCTATTCAGGCAGACGTTGGGAAGATGGGCTGGCCTTTCATTCCTGCAGCATTGCTCCCTGCTCAATCTCTCTCCCCTGTCGCTTTAATAGCATCCTATCTTTCTATTCATTCAATGAATATTTATGAAGGTCCTTAATGAAGATGGGGAGCAACGCAAAGGAAGGAGGGAAAGAAAAAAGGAGAGGTTTTTTTTTTCTTTCCGTATTTGCCATTTGTCAAGATACATCAAGATTTGTTAGTATTCAAGTGGCTTAATTTCTTGATTAAATTTCATTTTACTGATATAAATTTGGAAATTAAGTCCTGCCTTTGCAGCCAAGATAGGGAGGAGAGAAAGGTGAGATAAGGAAGAATGGACACTGTTGTCCTGAAAAAGGGGTGGGGGTAGGGGGGGTCATATTGTTGTTGTTTTTTTATTTTCTGGAGACCAATTAATAGATCTATGACAGTCAATGGGCACCATAGAATAGCCACAAAGGAAGGAGAGTTAGCAAGTAAAGATCTACAGAGGCATTTCTATATTACTGGCTCCTGACCCGAGTTTAATAAAGTGTTTTCTTTATGTATAAGGGACACGGTGGCTCAGTGGCTAAGATGCTGAGTTTGTCAATCGAAAGGTCGGCAGTTCAGTGGTTCGAATCCCTAGTGCCGCGTAACGGGGTGAGCTCACGTTACTGGTCCCAGTTTCTGCCAACCTAACAGTTCGAAAGCATGTAAAAAATGCAAGTAGAAAAATAGGGACCACCTTTGGTGGGAAGGGAACAGCATTCCGTGCGCCTTTGGCGTTGAGTCATGCCGGCCACATGACCACAGAGACTTCTTTGGACAGCGCTGGCTCTTCGGCTTTAAAACAGAGATAAGCACCGCCCCCTAGAGTTGGGAACGACTAGCAGATATGTGCGAGGGGAAGCTTTATCTCTACCTTTTTTTCTTTATGTCATGGTTCCCAATTTTGTAAAGCAAACACTACATTTGCAAATCAAAATAGAACAGACATCCAGAGTTCGTGAGCAAATTTCAAGTTTAGGTCACATTTACATGCCGGCGCTAAACTATGTTAGAAGTCTTATGTCAGTTTGGTAACTAGAGGCCGATTTAGAGTTACCTTGCCATAATTATCGCCACATAACTACGTTGCAAAGGGGTTGATGGGTAAACAGGGGTTTCAGAGGGCTGAAGATGGGCCAATGCAAACATTTCCTGAATCCCAACTCTGTGTTGTACGCAAGTGTATATATGTGTTCTGATTGGTTGATCCAGCTTCCTGTTCTGTTTTTTGCTGTCTGAGCACTCCCTAGCCAGAATGAACATTTGTAGATGTATTAAATGCAACACCTACACAACCACCTCTTAACAATGACGCCTATGTTCCCTGATGTGCAGAGATGGACTGTCAGAGTATGAATATTCATGGACTGGAATAGATCAGCCAATGAATACTTTAGAAACAGAAACTTAAGCTAGAAGTCTGGGCGTGGCTTGTGCGGAAGCTTAACTGCCCTGTATAGAGGAGGCTCTCTTTGTATTAAACTCTGTGCTCAGCTTTGGAACTGAAGCTAAGCAGTCTGTGCATGCTGTTTGCTCTGCTGAAATGAAACTAACTGTTCTCTCCTGCCTTGTGTTGTAACTGCTACTACGTTGAAGAATAATCTATATTGGTATTGTAAATACTTCATCTGTTGTTATGTATATAAAGAAGTTAATGAATCCAGCTGAAACAGTTATCTGTGTGTGCTTCTGGATTTGATTTTTGCAAGGAACTCTGACGTGGACTTGTCTAATTCAGACCTGTTAGCACATTACAGGGGTTGGGTGAACACAGAGCTTTCCAATGTATGGAGGGCCACAGTTGTGGCACTGAGTGATGAGAAACACAACTTTTTCCCCAAATGGGTTATAAAATTGGAATTAGGAAATTAGCAGTTATTTCAAGTCTTGACTAAAAGTTCCTATTTTCCTCCATATACCGTAGGCATCGTGACTTCTCTTCATCACTTAACTTTCACAGAACTTATATATTTAAGTTAAGAATAACAAAGTTGGAAGGGACTTGTAGGTCATCTAGTCCAAACACCCACCCAAGCAGGAGGCCCTACACCATTTCTGAGAGATGGCAGTCGTCTCTTCTTGAAAGCCTCCAGTGATGAAGCTCCCACAACTGTTGAAGGCAACTTCTGTTCCACTGGTTGATTGTTCTCACTGTCAGAAAGTTCCTCCTTATTTCTAGGTTGAATCTCTCCTTGATCAGTTTCCATCCATTATTCCGTGTCTGGCCTTCAGGTGCCTTGGAAAATAGCTTGACCCCCTTCCTCCTCTCTGTGGCAGCCCCTCAAATATTGGAACACTGCTATCCTGTCTCCCCTGGTCCTTCTCTTCACTAGGCTAGCCATGCCCAGTTCCTGTAACCGTTCTTCATATGTTTTAGTCTCCAGTCCCCTTATCATCTTGATTCTCTGCACTCCTTCTAGAGTCTGAACTTATTTTATAGTGTAGTGACCAAACTAAAAGGTTCCTCCAGAGTAATCCAAGCAGACATCTAGAATAATATCAAGATCCAATTTTTTTTCATGAAGATGATTAATCAACTTACAAGAATAATTAGTGAAGAATAACTGTTTTACAAGCCTGTTAAATCAAGAGAATCGGACACAACTGTTAGGTTCATTGATATTCATTCTTCATGTTGTTTGTTTTCTTTCGTGGAGAAAAAAATATTTTTTAATTAGCATTTACTTTAAAAACCCTTATTTTACAAAGATTTACAACTTTGGGAAGATGACTCAGACTGAGTATTGTATATCATTAAATAATAACTATAATAAAAAGGGATATCAAAAAGGATAATGTTGTAATTAAAAATGCAATTAATTTGGACAGATCAATCCCATCAACCAACTTGATATAATAATATATAATTGGCCAAAACGTTAAGAAATTAGACACTTGGTACAAAAGCAGCTGAAATGATGGGAGTATGGAGGGGGAGGCAGTAAATCAAGAATTATCTCAATTCACTCATGAGATTTTGCTTAAGGAGACATCTTGTAACATATTTTACTATGTGTTTGTAAGAAGTAAACCTCAAGTGATTTTTAAAAAAACTCACGGACATAACAAGAATAATACAATTTTTGAAGGATTTTTTTTTTTCTGTCTGAATTTTGAATTTCTCCCACATAGTCCATAGATCATATAAATATCTGAACAGATTAAAAACTTTAGAAGAGGCTATTTCAAGGCTGAACTGCGGGTTCCTTGGTGTTTTTTGGGCTTGGTTGTTTTCTTAAGGATGTTTCATTACCAAACTTAGTAACATCTTTGGTGCTAGAAGAGAGTAGGGTTTGCCCTAGTCCCTTCTAGAACTGATGGTGTTACCTAGATGGGTAATGAAACGTCTGCAAGAAAACAACCAAGCTCAGGGAGCACCAAGGACCCCATAAACATAAAAAAAAAAAAAAGCTACCATGTGGAACTCTACCTCAAAAAAATTATTGGGGCCCAAAATGAGAATTTTCCCTCATTTCCTCAAAATAGCATATACATTTTTTGGGGGGTTAGGGGAGGGATTGTATGATTTCTTATCAATAAAAAAGAAGCAACCCTTCAATGAGAAACTCAAGCTTGATCTAAGATGCCAGCAATGTTTGCATGTATCTCTATTTGGCGCCACTCAGAATGTCCAAGTGTCTTCTCACCAACAAAGGCGACTACATATGCGTGGCTGCTGAGATCCAAGCAAAGGTTTCTCATCAGTCAAGAGGTTTTGGGTTTGTGGCTTTCACATCTCTTTGGGCCCAGTCCTGGTGTGTTTGTTGCTTAATGCTTCTGAGAAGTGAAGCTTCTGACGAATCAGCGATGTCAACCCTGGAGCCCTTTCCCTTGACAGCATTCAGTACGAAGGTCCTTTGACAGAACCGACTTCAGTTAGCTGAGCTGAGGCAGAGGCCCCAAGGCAGACGACTGCCTCGCAAAACCCAGGGAGGCCAGAAGGCCCAGGTAAACCAGCACGTCCTGCTTCTCCTGGAGCACCTGGAACACCTCGCTCTCCATGTTTGCCATTGAGAGCTTGACCAGGTTGACCAGGGGGACCTGGAAAAAATGAAACCATGTACAGTTTATGATTGCGTGCCTTACCCTCTTCCACAACCACTATTGCTTCTCAAAGTTCTAAAGGCCCCATAACCACCTAAAAAGACTTGGGTGAAGTCTCAGAATTCATATTCTAGTAGCCATGTACTTACTGCCATCACCTTTCAGGAAAGAAGGCCTGAATAACAGAACCTGGACATGCAACAAACAAAATCTAACACCCAAGATGATGTAAACTGGAGGCCAGCTAGCTCCTAATGGCCAATGCTTCAGGTCTGGTGAAGAAAGAACATGCAGACTGACATCCCTTGAGAGCTCCAACAGTTTCTACCTGGACCAGAGAGCCCTTGATATCAATTGTTTAGAACAGAGGTCTCCAATCTTGGCAACTTTAAGACTTGTGGGCTTCAATTCAGTGGTGAAATCCAATTTTTTTTACTAGCGGTTCTGTGGGCGTGGCTTGGTGGGCATGGCAGATTACTGCAAAATCTCCATTCCCACCCCACTCCAGGGGAAGGATACTGCAAAATCCCCATTCCCTCCCCACTCTAGGGGGAAGGATACTGCAAAATCCCCATTCCCTCCCCACTCCTAGGGGAAGGATATTGCAAAATCCCCATTCCCACCCCACTCTGGGGCCAGCCAGAGGTGGTATTTGCCAGTTCTCCGAACTACTCAAAATTTCCGCTACTGGTTCTCCAGAACCTGTCAGAACCTGCTGGATTTCACCCCTGCTTCAACTCCCAGAATTCCACAGCTAGCTGGCTGAGGAATTCTGGGAGTTGAAGTCCACAAGTCTTAAAGTTGCCACGGTTGGAGATCCCTGGTTTAGAAAGCAGTGGTGGGCAGAAGACATTACTACCCTTGAGGAACACCCAGAGGCTCCAACTGGCGCAGAGTGCGGCCGCGCGGATGGTTATGGGAGCAACATGGTGCTCCTGTGTGACACCTCTCCTGCGCGAGCTGCACTGGCTCCTGGTGGTCTTCCGGGTGCGCTTCAAGGTTTTGGTTACCACCTTTAGAGCGCTCCATGGCTTAGGACCTGGTTATTTACAGGACCGCCTACTACCACAAACAGCCTTCCACCGGCCGGTATGCTCTCATAGAGAGGGGCTCCTCCAGGTGCCGTCAGCCAAATAATGTCGACTGGCGGCCCCCACAGGGGGAGGGCCTTCTCTGTGGGGGCACCTACTATCTGGAACGAGCTCCCCCTGGAGATACGGAGGATCCCGGATCTGCGCACTTTCTGCCGTGCTCTTAAGACCCTCCTATTCCAGCAGGCCAGCCTGGCCTAATTTTCTCCCCTTTCTTTTAAATTTTTTAAACTGAAATTTTAATTTGTTTTTAAATTATTGGGAATTTTAATTGTCTCGGGTGAAATTATTTAATTTGGTTTTAATTATGTTTTTTAACTTTTGTATTTATGTGTTTTATTCTGTGCCTGTTCACCGCCCTGAGTCCTTCGGGAGTAGGGCGGTATACAAATCTAATAAATGAAATGAATGAATGAATTACGGTGAAGCTAGACATCACCAAAGAGCCTCTATAGCCCAAGGTCTCTTCTGCCATTGTTTCTTCTTACCACTGTTCTACTTCTCCAGATATAGATCTTTCACTCCTTTCTTGTAAGTACAAAATCTATCGTATCCATAACTAAATGAAGATGTATAACATCCCCCAAAGTCATCTCCTCCAGACCTTTTTGTGACAGCAACTCCTTCATCCCTCCCACCATGAAAAATGATTGAACAATTCCTTTCCTCTTTCCCACTGAAGAGACAACAAAATCTTTCTCTAGGGAAACTGCTATGCTATAAAGAGAGTTACACTGCACTGATTTTATGACCTCAAATCCATAGCTGTAAACATATCAGCGCTTTCTCTAAAACTGCAAAAGATCCACCTGTGGTTTATTTTGTGCAGTGTCTGGAGATGGAACTTTTCCACAACTATTTATTTTATTTATTAATCTTTATGCCACCCATCTCCCCTAAAAGGTGACCCTGAATGGCTCTGAATGTCCTCCAAGGATATCCCGTGTAGTGATTAGCTAGAATGACTGGGAATTCTAGAAGTTATTCCACACTTGGAGGTGGAACCCAAACTTACAGGCCTGTTTCTCTCAAGGTAACTCAAAGGATCCTCTCACCTGGTATGCCTGGAGGCCCTGGCATCCCTTGATGTCCACGGCCAGGTTCTCCCTGGTCTCCTTTCTCACCCCTCTTTCCTGTGGGATAAGGAAACCACAAACGTTAACTCTTATTAGATTCACATTTTGTAGACCTACTGTTTGACTGGACCTCCTTTCCAGTTCTTTCTAATTAAAAGACAGCCACAGGGATTTCAAAAACAAAAACATGTTTTAAATGGAACATTTAAATGGAACCCACACTGCATATCAGACATTAATACAATTGAGCGTGTCCAGAAATATTTCACAAGAAGAGTCCTCCACTCCTCTGCTCGTAACAAAATACCTTATGTCACCAGACTTGAAATTCTGGGTTTAGAAAACTTAGAACTACATCGTCTTTGGTATGACCTAAGCATAGCTCATAAAATCATCTGCTACAATATCCTACCTGTCAATGACTACTTCAGCTTCAACCACAACAATACATGAGCATACAATAGATACACACTTAAAGTGAACCGTTCCAAACTCGATTGCAGAAAATACGACTTCAGTAATAGAGTGGTCAATGCCTGGAATGCACTACCTGACTCTGTGGTTTCATCCCCAAACCCCCAAAACTTTAACCTTAGACTGTCTACTGTTGACCTCACCCCATTCCCAAGAGGTCTGTAAGGGGTGTGCATAAGAGCACCAGCGTGCCTTCCGTCCCTGTCCTAATATTCCTTTTTACTTACTCTTTTCATGTATTCAAATTATGTTTATACTTATATATATTATCTAATATGTACTTGACAAAATAAATAAATAAATAAAATAAATAAATAAATCCAGGACAGAGAGAAAACACTTGGAAGAAGCTCAGGTTGGCTCCACCCTAATTCACTGGAGTGTAATAGGGGGAAAAGGAGAAAAATAACCAGGTTTTTAAAATTCTGTGGTTTGTTTGGTGGCTTCTGGTAAATGCTGACTCCTGATGACTGCCTGGACAAGTTCCTACAGTTTTCTTGGCAATGATTTTAGAAGTGGTTTACCACTGCATCCTTCCTAGGGCTAAGAGAGAATGACTGGCCCAAGATCACCCAGTTGGAATTGTGCCTAACGCAGAACTAGAACTCACAACCTTCTGTTTCTAGACTGGTTCCTTAACCATTACACCAAACTGAATCTCTAAGAATCTGTTATTATAGCCTTTATCCATATAATTCCAAAATATGGAGTCTGATCAGAGCCACCTCTAAGACCTGACACTAGCCCTTATCTCTAAGTAACTGATCTATAAAATGTAATCCATAGAAATCCTTAGCTGTTTCTGGTGCTTGGATGGATTATGCAGGTTCTATTTAGAAAATACTTCAGGAACCTTTTTTGATATCCTGCAATTATACTGGGATGACAACTCCCAATAACATGATTTATAATGGAAAAACAAAACAAAACTTTCACAGCATGTGAGACTGAAAACGGGAGAATAGGAGGATCCACTGTGGAATCCTAAGTGGTAGAGGCTGAATTCAGTTCAGGATGAATTTTCAGTGGCACCAAGATAAAGGTGCCATCCAAAATATTAAGGGATTGAACAGATGTTCCTGGCAAGATTCTCTAGGCCAGGGGTCTCCAACCTTGTCAACTTTAAGACTTGTGGACTTCAACTCCCAGAATTCCTCAGCAAAGCTGGCTGAGGAATTCTGGGAGCTGAAGTCCACAAGTCTTACAGTTGACAAGGTTGGAAACCCCTGCTCTAGGCAATTAATTCCAGATGTTGTTAATAAACAATAAGTAGAGATGAGGCATCTAGCTTTTGGGCACTTGACTCTTGGTGAGAGTAATTCTTCTCCCAGTATGAATCAAGTCTTCTTTAGCAAGATTTGTTGAAAGGTTTGGCAAAGGAAGAATTCCCTATTTAGAACCCACATGTTTCCTAAAGAATTGGATGGGCTATTTTGTAATTTCTTTCTAACGGTTTTTCTGGGAACTTCAAGGATAAAGTTCTTCACGTTGATCAGGAATAAATTTGCAGGTGTCTATTCACGTCTTCTAAGCCCTCATCAGATAACAAAACCTTACATGAGGTTCCCATGCCAAGACCTCTACCTACCTTTGGGTCCAGTGTTGCCTATCTGTCCAACAGCTCCTAGGATTCCTGGAAGACCACGGGAACCAGGATGTCCGTGGGGGCCTTGGGAGCCAGGTGGTCCAGGAGGCCCTGGAGGGCCGGGTGGTCCCATCATGCCGCTTCCACCCAAAGTTTCTCTTTTCGCACTCACAGCTAACTCGGCCAGTTGTTCTGGAAGGCAAAGATGAAAAGAGAAGCTTCATCTCCCAGGTGTCTTCCGCCATCCTTCCCAAATTCAAGAGGTTGACCGTGAAGGCATGTTTCTCCACAAATGTACTTTGCTCCTCAACAGCTGTGTTTACACAACGGCGTTAATTACCATCCTAGCAGCTGTATTTGCACAACATGATGAGCTGGATTAGTTTTCATTCGGTTCAACGATTTCTAGATTAATGTTTTATACGAACCTGGCTAGTTTATTAGCTTACGATTCAAGTTACTGAAGTAGACATTCAGAAAATGGATTAAATCATAACCAGGTAACCAGGTATTCTGTAACTGCTGCTTGATTCCTGGGAACTTGGAAGATATGAATATGGAATAGTTGTACCCTGTTTCCCCGAAAATAAGACATCCCCTGATAATAAGCCTAATCGGGCTTTTGAGCACATGTACTGAAATAAGCCCTCCCCGAAAATATTTAAATGCAGAGCTGGAAATCAGGTAATATGGCAAGAAGAGCCCCATCTTGCTCCACGCGCCCCAAAATAATAAGACCTCCCCGAAAATAAGGCCAAGCGCTTATTTTGAGGTTCAAAACAATATAAGACAGGGTCTTATTTTCGGGGAAACACAGTACGTTTCTTTTTTCAACCTCCCAATCTAGCCTATAGCTTTTGTATTCCCTGATGGTTCTTCCTTCAGGAATTGATCCTGCTTAGCTTCTGAGCCTGGGCAATATTGACTAGGGATTGCCTCTGCTTAGATCAGGGGTGGGGTACGATGGCCCTTTTATGACTTGTGGACTTCAACTCCCAGAATTCCTGAGCCAGTCATGGTGGCTCAGGAATCCTGGGAGTTGCAAGTCCACAAATCATAAAAAGGGCCATCGTTCCCCATTCCTGCCTTAGATCCTGAGTCTTACATATTAAAATGGCTGGCTCAGGAATTCTGGGAGTTGAAGTCCACAAGACATAAAGGGGCCTTGTTCTCCACCCTGACTTAGATGGTACTAAAAACTGGCCAGCAGAATTTCAATGGGGCAAAATTCAGGCTGTAGTTAGGGAGAATTGGGGATGGATTTTAAGCACGAGGATGGAGGTTCACACAAGCCCATTGCAATGAAACATGCTAAAAAAGTCACACATTTCGAGGGATGTCACATAACGTCAATCAGGAAACCCAGCTGCAACCCCCAAATACGTCTCCAGACGAGTGCCAGGCCCAGAGGGATCAATCACTGCCAAGTTTGTGGTATTTGATTCATGAGCTTTAATTTCCATTTGGCCCTGGGTCATCACACTGGTTAGCGTGTGGTTTGGCCAGTGGTGCCCTTTTGATACACTGACCTTGTAGCATCTTGATCACGACATCAACAATATGCTGATCTCCAGTGTCCCTGCCCTGGAGAATGGAAGAGAAGCCGAGGATTGTGATCTTCTCCTACATCATCACGCCAGCAACCACAACACTCTTAAATCAGTTTGTCAGGACCTGAGATCCCCGCAGGGAGGCTTCAAGTTTATTATACTCAAGCGGTGTCTGTAAAAAAACTGGTCTGCTTTAAGTCTTCAATTGCCTACCAGCATCTGGGCTCGATCCTGTCATTCCTTTCCCCACCCCCACACCCCACACCCAGAAATCTTCAGCCACAGATGCTTTTTAGTGGAAATTTATATGCTGGATAGATGATGATGATGATGATGATGATAATAATAATAATAATGATAATAATAATACCCTGTTTCCCCGAAAATAAGACATCCCCTGATAATAAGTCCAATAAGGCTTTTGAGAGCATGCACTAAAATAAGCCCCCTCCCCCCGAAAATAAGCCTTCCTGAAAATATTTAAACACAGAGCTGGAAATCAGGTAAGATGGCAAGAGGAGCCCCGTCTTGCTCCACGCACCCCAAAATAATAAGACCTCCATGAAAATAAGGCCAAGCGCTTATTTCAGGGTTCAAAGAAATATAAGACAGGGTCTTATTTTCGGGGAAACATGGTAATAACAACAACTTTATTGTCACTGTACGTGCATGCACAGTATACCCATACAACGAAATTCACTTAACACCCAGAGACCAGACGCAACTCACATGACAATCCCCAAACACACCCCCACCCACCACAATTCCCCACCACTAAACCACCCAAACATCCACACAACGGACCAAGTAATGCTGTCCAACAGCTCACTGATGGTGGCCCTTTAGTTCATTGTTGAGTGCATCTTATACTCCATAAAATACGGTATTTATATGTATATGTATATGCATTGGTATCAGTATATACTGTATGTATAGACAGAGATGATTGAGATGACTGAGACAGAGATAGGGAGAGAGAGAGAAAGAAAGAGAAAGAGGGGGAGAGGGAGAGAGAAAGACAGAGAGATGTTGCTATAGTTTAATTAAAACATTCCAAAAAAATCAGGAATAGGAAGTTATGGTGCTTAGCATTCCTCTTGCAACCACGTAAGCAGAAGGTCCTTGACTTCAGCTTACATGGTTTCAAGAGGAATGCTAAGAACCATATTTTCCTACTCCTGAAGATCCTTCACTTACACCGCTTGTAGTCCTGGTGCTTCGCCAGAATATCTTTCATGAAAGTGAAATTGCATTTAAATGCTGGCAGTCTGGAGGAACGTCTCTGCATCTAGCAGATTATCTCTGTGAGAAGGGACTTGTGCAGAGGCACCTCAGAAGAGACCTGCCAAACAGTCTGCTTTTTTCGCAGTAATGAAATGGCTCTCAAAAGTCAAGGATCAAAGTCCTTCCAAAGCAGACTCATTTCAGGGGACTCGTTCCAAGTTGGAGTGGGCAGCCCCCTCGAAGACTGAACCTCTGAAGGGGGAAGGGTTGAGTCACCCAATGAAAGAGGCACCCTGCAATTGGAAGGACAGGTCAGAGCAGTAGCACACTAATCTTTGACAAGTATCCTAAGTAAGGTCAGTACTCCCCAGTGGTGAAATCTAAAATTTGTTACTACCAGTTCTGTGGGCGTGGCTTGGTGGGAAGGGGGGGTTAATGTGACTGGGTGGGCGTGGCCAATGGTTTTTTTTTTTACTTTTAAAACCATTTTTTCTACAACCTCTTCGGTGAAGAGGTTGTAAAAAAATGCTTTCAAAAGGCTCTGACGATCCCAGCTGAGTTGCCTGACCGGCAGAGACTTTTTAAAAAAGCCTCTGCCAATCAAGCAACTCAGCTGGGATCGTCAGAGGCATTTAAAAGAAAAAAAAGGGTTTTTTTCTTTTAAATGCCTCTGACGATTCCAGTTGAGCCGCACGATCATCAGAGGCTTTTTTTTTTACTTCTAAAAGCATTTTTTCCACTGAAGAGGTTGTAGAAAAAATGCTTTTTAAAATTTAAAAGAAAGCCTCTGATGATTGCGCAGCTCAGCTGGGCAATGGGGGGGGCAGGGATTTTTGCTACCAGTTCTCCGAACCACCTGCCTCCATCGCTACCGGATCGGGCGATCCGGTCCGAACCGGGAGCATTTCACCCCTGATACTCCCCCTTTTCATGCCACAATTCCATGCCAGAAAAATTCTGCCTAAGATGATGATACTTAATTAGAAGACAGAACTTGCATGCACAGGCCCATAATGAAACCTCCTCAGTAGATCTTAAAAGAAAAAAAAGATCTTAGAGATCTACTCTTCTGTAGTGAGGTATATAACAGGTTGACACCATCCTTCAGAGGGCGTGGAAATGAACCCCTAAAATTCTCCTCAACGGCCACACAGGATAAAGAATTCTGAACTTCAAGTCTGTACATTTTATAGTTAACAGTAACAAGAGCTGGAAGGGATCTTGGAGGTCATCTAGTCCAACCAGTGGGGAAATCCAATTTTTTTTACTACCAGTTCTGTGGGTGTGGCTTGGTGGGCAGGAAAGGGGAAAGATACTGAAAAATCTTCATTCCCACCCTACTCCAGGGGAAGGATATTGCAAAACCTCCATTCCCTCCCCACTCCAGGGGAAGGATACTGCAAAATCCCCATTCCCTCCCCACTCCTGGGGAAAGGATATTGCAAAATCTCCATTCCCACCCCACTCTGGGGCCAGCCAGAGGTGGTACTTGCCGGTTCTCTGAACTACTCAAAATTTCCACTACCGGTTCTCCGAACTGCTCAAAATTTCCACTACCGGTTCTCCAGAACTTGTCAGAACCTGCTGGATTTCACCCGAGTCCAACTCCCTGCTCACGCAGGAGACTTGTACTAGGGATTCGAACTGCCGAACTGCTGACCTTTCTGATCGACAAGCTCAAGTGTCTTAGCAACTGAGCCACCTAACTGCCGATAGGCCAGCTCTGTGGTGGCATGCCACCACGACATGGAACTTTTATGACATTTACTTACCGGGGCACCTCGCAACCCAGGCATTCCAGGTACACCACGTTCCCCATTAGGTCCTCGAGGGCCAGGAGGTCCTGGGAAACCTCTGACTCCAGGTGCTCCGATGTCTCCAGGAGGTCCAGGAAAACCAGGCTCCCCACGGATGCCTGGCTGTGAAAAGGACAAGAGCAGTGGTTCTTAATCTCAGCAACTTTAAGATGTGTGGACTTCAACTCCCAGAATTCCCCAGCGGGTGTGCCCATGATTCAATTAACAATCGGAAGTGGAACTGCTGGAAGTGTCATTGTAAGTTGACATAGTCATGGGATTTTTTCACTTAGCAAGTGAGTTGCTGGGCCCAATTACAGTCATTAACTGAGCACCGCCTGTATTAAAATCCCATCAAACGGTGAGAAGCAAAACTAGAAACAGATGCATCCATTTTAATTTTTAATGCGGTAAATATCAAAAAGTATAACTCATATAAACAAAAAACTCTTTTGGGATCCTCCAATAATTTTTAAAAGTGAGAAAGGCGTCCTGAGAGGAAAGGGAAAAAAAAAAAAGAAAGAAAAGATCCAGCTATTTTAAAAATCATTGATGCAAAAATCTTCCAGCGAGTAACAAACGTGGCTTTGTATTATGTTAAAGAAAATTGCCTGATGTTTGCCTTAACATTTATTATCAATTTTTTATTCTTTGCTATTTGAAGGTGTTAAAAATGTAAAACAGTGCAATTATATAGTGCATGCAAGGGATAAGCTACAGAGATATAAAAACTATTTTTTATATAAAGTTGCAGATCCACCAAAATTATCATTTTGTTCTTAGCATAAGTAACCCATTATTCAAGCCTCTTTTTCCCCATAAGAACAATTATTTCTCATCCCCAATCATAAAAGTTATATATTTTTCCATATTTATATATATATGTGGATACCCAAGATAAACCACACTGTTCAAAATAAGATACAATAGCAAATAATTACCTGCCCCTTTGGTCCAGGTTCCCCCAATTCACCCTAAAAATAAAGAACAAAGAGAAATGTTTAGGTGAGGCTCCAAATAGGTAAAGAGGTTTTGAGACTTCTGGGGAAGAACAATTAACCAGTGGAACAGAAGTTGCCTTCAGAAGCAGTGGGTGCTCCATCACTGGAGGCTTTTAAGAAGAGACTGGACAGCCACTTGTCTGAAAGGGTATAGGGCAGTGATGGCTAACCTTTTTGTCATCGCGTGTCGAAAGTGTCTGCACCCATAATGCAATGCACGACACCCCCCGCTCTACGACCACCACGCATGCATGCGCAACACCCCACCCTGCCCCCATGCGCATGACCCCCAGTGCTCCCCCCCACCCCCTCACGCATGCATGTGCAACCCCCCCATTCAGTTTTGGGCCTAGCAGGCCTCCCTGCAGCCTCCTGGGACCAAAAATGGGCCGCGGGGAACCCCCCATTCCCCCCGCATGCGTGCACGACCCCCTTGGCCTCAGCATGAGCACACATCTCCCGTATGTGCCCCCCCCCTTCCGCATGCGTGGCAGAGACCCAAAAATCAGCTGGCCAGCAGGAGGCATGTGTGCATGCAGGATGGAGCTGAGCTGGGCTCACGTGCCCACGGAGAGGGCTCTGCGTGCCACCTGTGGCACATATGCCATAGGTTCGCCATCACGGATATAGGGCCTCCTGCTTGAGGAGGTTGGAGTAGAATACCTCCAAGGTATCTTCCAACTCTGTTATTCTATCAAGGAGCTGGCAAATTAACCAGCTTCTAAGAATTCCTCTCTGGACACGGAGAGGACACAGGATCACCCACATTAACTCCAGACAGCAGCTCTCCATCAGGAGACTGTAAGACATGGTCTCCAGCAGGTACAGAGCTCTGGGAGCCAAGGGAATAGCCCTCTTTCACTCAAACAACAGTCAGCCCCTTTGAAAGGATACTAGAGTCATCTATTTCCTTACTTAATCATTTCTGGAAATTGCTCGTTAATAATTAAGAGGGATGGACTTCAACTTCCGCCTGCTGGCTGGAGAATTCTGGGTATTGAAGTCCATCCCTGTTAAAAGAGCTGAGATTAAGAAACTTTGCTGTAGATCTTCTCACCTTCTGCCCCTTTCCTCCAGAAAGGCCTTCAACACCAGGATTCCCCTATGAGAAAAGAAGAATAAGCCATAATAACAGCCTGTCAGTGTATAAGAGTTCATGAATTGGAATAGACATGGCAACAGGTCAGCCAATGGGGACTGTTTGGTGACTCAGACAGTTTGGAGACTGGGTGTGGCTTAGCTTGACTGTTATGTATAAAAGAGTTGGTTTGTCCTTGCATTATTGCTTCTGTGATTATATAGATTCTGTGCTTCTGGATTCTGAGTTCTGGTTTCTGCTGCATGGGTATTGTATACATGCATCATGCTTTATATTACTACATATAAAGAAGTTTCTTTATACGTGAATCCTGCTGAATTCTTCACTTGTGTGCTGGATGGATTGCTGCAAACTCTAACACAATCCTTTCATGGAATGACCACTGCCACTGCCTCATCAGGCTGCTCTAGGCAAGGGGCGCAGCGCTGCACAGGTACAGAAAAGTGCTTTCTCTCTTCACCCTCTATCAACCACCAGCCAACTGAAGGAGCCTACTGTGACTATGTAAAATTGGACCCACTTGGCTTCTTCTCCCACCCCCTGCAGCTCACTTATTTATTTTTTATTTCTAATTGACCTCACACAGACCAGACATGGACATCTAGAGGGCTAGATGTGGCCCGGGGACCATAAAATGCCCAGGTCTGATCTGGAAGGTCCAAGATCAGAGGTCTTCAAACTTGGCAGCTTAAAGACTTATGGACAGCTGGAGAATTCTGGGAGTTGAAGTCCACAAGTCTTAAAGCTGCCAAGTTTGAAGACCTCTGCCCTAGATGAAGAGAGGCCCTCTAGCTACTGGAGCAGAGAGAAGATGCTTCTTAACTTTTAAGTTTGGAGATAGCTTGGCCTCTGGACAGAGACATCCACAGGATCTGATGCTTCAAGTCAACAGAATGAAAATAACATTGTGGGCATGGCAATGATTGACTGCGCCCCTTTTATACATGTCCGTCTTTAGATCTGCTGGTGGAATTGATAGGGTCAAGCTCAGTCAGCCCACTTTTTGGGGGCTGGGGCTGGCTAGGTAGAAGGGTGCTCCCTCCTGTTACATTTCCTCCCCATTTGAAGAGGAGTCAACTGCAACCTCCAAAATTCAGCCATTTTATTGTATACCAGCAGTGTAATTTCAAGGATCCTGGGGGGGTGGGGGGGTGTAGAGGCAGCAAAGGCATTCTGGGGGGAGGGCTGCAGGAAGCCCACCTAATCCATATCGTAGAAGCCCATTTGAGCTGCAGTTGACTCAAATAATCAGCCAATCGGAGGGGAAACGTTGCTGATTTTTTTGCAAAAACAGATTCTTAGCTCATCGTGCAGATTGCTTGGGGAAAAAAAGACCTTGAAAAGCTTCGGAGAAATCCTGCCTTAATAAATGCATTAATAAAAGAAAGCTGGAGGGTTCTTATCTCACTTCTCGAGATTCTGTATTCTAACCCTGAATTGTTGGTCTTAAAGCTCCTTAAAGGAAGCCCATGTGAATCTTGCTTCTAGGAACATGGGCTGCAGTTGTGAGAATTCGATACCCGTTTTTCTCCGTTATCCCAGGCCATTTAATCTTTCCACTTGCCCGCATGTGCCGAGACTCTCTGAGCTAACAGAAATCTTTCTGTTTTCCCTTATTTATTTCATAGTTATTGACCAGGCTGCATCTGCTGCTGTTTCTCCATTGATTTCTATGGATTAATTGTATAACTCTTTGTATGTTTTGTTAGCTGCCTAGGGAATATTTTATGCTGAAGGCACCGCCAGAACAAAACTTAAAAGAAATTAATTATGATCAAAAGAGTAGGCAATAAATTGCTGGTTGCTTCACTAGGGTAGCTGTGTAGTAACGATGATTAAAAGGGAGGAAAAAATGCAACAGATGTACTTACGATGCTGCCTTTGGATCCACTTCTTCCCGGGAAGCCCTACAGACAAGAAAAGGGGGAAAATATGAAATTTAGAAGATGTGGAATCAAGTACTCTGAGAAGGTTTTCAATGGGTTTATTCCAGATGGTTTGGGACTACACAATTCCCAAATTGAATATCCAGGAAAACTAGATAACCTAATCATGACCACTATCATGTGGGAATGACTAGACTGATGCCAGTTATGGGATTTCAATGGATAGCTGGTTGGCTACTACAGAAAACCAAATAATTCTGATCCCACAACAGGGGTGAAATCTACTTACCTTCCCAACCAATTTGGAAGTGCACACACCGTGCGCACATGCTTTCTTTGCTTGCGCACATCACGTGTGCACTTGGACTCTTTGTGCATGCGCAAACCCTTCTGCACATGCACAGAGGGTAAAAAACAGGTTACTTCCCGGTTAAAACTAGGAAGTAACGACGACTGGGCGGGTGGGTGGAGCCTCGTGCCGCCATCGCTACCAATTCTCTGAACCACCGGCCTCCGTTACTACCGGTTCGGTCGAACCGGTCCGAACCAGGAGCATTTCACCTCTGTCCCACAAGGTTCTTATATTGTTCTTACTAGCAGCATTCTAATTAACAATCCAAGTCCCTATTCTGGGCCATCAACTTCAATGTTATCCAGATCAGGACAAGCCACTTTTTGGCTCATTCAGGGTCTCAATGAGGACTAAGAGTGTTAAGAACTGCCTTGTACGCCGATGGTGGTAGGGCTGAATAAAGGAGCAGGCAGAGCTACAGCCCAAAGTGATATAATGCTATATGAGAATGACCTTGAAGCAGGGGTGGGTTCTATTTACCTTTACTACCAGTTCACATCATGCCCACATACTCGCACATGCACACTCTTCTGCGCATGCGCAGATCACCTATGATGACGTCTGGGTCAGTGGACGGAGCTTCCCACTGGTTTTACTACCGGTTCTTGTGAACCGGTCCGAACCGGGGGGCAACCCACCACTGCCTTGGAGGTAAGAGATGCTGCCAAGGAAATGGTCAGATAAGAGAGGACATAATCCGCAGCGGCATAATGAAAGATGTAAGCCTTCCCAGTTAGACCAGGTAAGAAGAAACAACCAGACGACAAATATCTGTAACCCAGGGGTAGGATGAGGATGGGTTCTCCAAGCTTGTGGTTGGTTTCCAAATGTTTTGTTACCAGACTAGGTTACATCTTCAATGGAGGTTAGGGGGTGTCTGTGTTCTTCTGTTTATAAGGGCTTCAGGTGTGGGTATGTCAAGTGAGGGTCTTGTGACGAGCCGGCTGTGAGTCATCAGTGAATCTTGTGATGGGTTTTGTGATGTGTCTTCTGATAAGGAGATTACATCAGGTCCCATTGATTTACAACCAGCCTATGAACCCCTCAGATTCCAAATCAACCACACAGCCAACCAGAGACAGCACCGACCCTCAAACAACCCACACAATCCCTACCACAGGGGTGAAATCCAGCAGATTCTAACAAATTCTGGAGAACCGGTAGCAGAAATTTTGAGAAGTTTGGAGAACCAGCAAATACCACCTCTCGCTGGCCCCAGAGTGGGGTGGGAATGGAGATTTTGCAATATCCTTCCCCCAGGACTGGGGAGGGAATGGAGATTTTGCAGTATCCTTCCCTTGCCACGCCCACCAAGCCACGCCCACAGAACCGGTAGTAAAAAAAAATGGATTTTACCACTGCCCCACTACCAGTTCACCTCGCAATGACACCTCCCCATCACAAGACTCACTGATGACTCACCACAAGACCCTCACTTGAGACACCCACACCTGAAGCCCTTATAAACAGAAGTAAAATGACACTGACACCTCCTAAATTCCACTGAAGATGTTACCTAGCCTGGTAATGAAATGTTCAGGAACCAAACCAGGAGCTTGGAGAATGAACCCTCAACCACAACCAGATCAATTAATTGTACTTTACTGTAAGTCTGCGTAAACAGAATATTGCAAGTACAAATCACCTTTTGAACCCGAGAACTTAGGAAGGGCCTTCTTTCTGACCCTCTTTCTCCACCCATTATGCAGCATGGGTTATTCCCTCTCTTATCTGTTCTCTAGGCAGAGCAGTGTGGTGGCTTAGAGGTGGAGTTCTCGCCTCACAATCAGGAGGCTATGAGTTTGATCCTAGGTAGCGGCAGATATTTCTCTCTTTGGGTGCAATGAGTAATTGTGTGTTGTAAACTCCACCTAGGCACCAGGAAGGGCATCCGGCCAGTAAACTCTTGAGCTCCGTTCAGTTGCTCTGACTCCATCCTGATGCAAGGGATTACAGCGTTGTTAAAAGAAAAACAAATCTGTTCTCTAAGCAGCATCTCCTCCCCTCTGGTTCTGCAACCCAACAAAACAGGCACAGACTTCAGAGGATCATTAGAACTGCAGAAAAAACAATGGCTACCAAGCTGCCTTCCATTGAGGACCTGTATACTGCACGAGTCGAAAAGAGGGCTGTGAAAATATTTACAGACCCCTCGCATCCTGGACATAAACTCCTACCCTCAAAACGACGCTATAGAGCCCTACACACCAGAACAACTAGACACAAGAACAGTTTTTCCACGAATGCCATCACTCTGCTAAACAAATAAATCCCTCAACTCTGTCAAACTATTTACTAAGTCTGCATTACTATTAATCTTCTCATCGTTCCTATCACCCATCTCCTCCCACTTATGACTGTATGACTGTAACTTTGTTGCTTGTATCCTTACAATTTATATTGACTGTTTCCTAATATGATTTGATTGCTTATTTGTACCCTATGGCTATCCTTAAAATGGGGATTGCAAAGACAAAAATCTTGCAGAGTGTTCTTTTTTTTTAATCAGAGCTTTTAAATTGACCATTGCTGATCACAGAATTTTGACTTCAAGTCAGGAAGATCAAAATATTACCTTGCTGCCTTTAACTCCTGGGAGTCCCTGTGGCCCTGGAATTCCAGGGGTCCCCTGGTCTCCTTTAGGGCCCTGAAAGGGAAGAGAAAAAAGGAAAAGGAAAATGGAGGCAAAAAAAAAGAAGACAAGAACAAAGACAGATACAGATACCCAAGCAGTCTCTTGCTCCTACAATAAAGACTGAATTTTTCACTTAATGGGCTTTAATCAATAAAGGAGAATATTTATAGTTCAGGGTTGAAATGAGGAATCCTTGGTGCACTCTGAGCTTGCCTGTTTTCTTGCAGGCATTTCATGACCCAACTAGGTAACATTATCAGTGCACTTGTATATAGAGAGCAAACCCCACTCCCTTCTAGAACTGATAATCTTACCTAGTTTGGGTAATGAAACTTCTGCAAGGAAATAACTAAGCTCAGAGAGCGCCAAGGGACCCCTCTCAATAGGTTTTGAGGGGATGGAATAGGATGGAAGGGACAAAAACAAGAGCCTTGGTGGTGCAGTGGACTAAAGTGCTGTTAAGTAGCACTTAGCTGCCAGCTGCCTGCAATTACTGCGAGTTCAAATCTCACCAGGCTCAAGGTTGACTCAGCCTTCCATCCTTCCAAGGTAGGTAAAATGAGGACCCTGTTTGTGGGGGCAATAAGCTGACTTTGTATAAAAAAAGAACACCACTTAGGAGGGGACGAAAGCCCTACTAAGCAGGTATATACAAAAGTATGAAGACTATTGCTTAACGCATTGTAAGCCGCCCTGAGTCTCCGGAGAAGGGCGGCATATAAATCGAACCAATAAATAAATAAATAAATTGAATTTGCCAAAGAACAAATTTTGGTGAATCAGTCCAGATAATGTCTGTAGATTGTGTGTATTTGGATTTAATGCATCCTTCCCTCCCAGTTGGGCCATAAAATCAAAGTTTTACTGTATCTGCGGGCCACGAAAGAATAGCTGGCAAAGATTTTATGCGATATAGCTTAGCTACTTTCACTGGCTGTCTGAAAGATATACAATTCATAAAAGCAAAGTGTTGTTAATTAAACAGCAATAACTTCTACCCTGCCTGGTGGATACATGTTAAAGCCATAAATTGAGGGTGGGGGAGATAGCTCTGAAGTCCGACGTGGCCAGTAGCCCCTCTGTTTTGCATCTTGATTTTTTTCTTTTTAAAAAAAAAAATGATTTATATGCCACCCTTCTCGGGGACTCAGGGCGGCTTACAATGCGTTAAGCAATAGCCTTCATTCTTTTGTATATTTTATACAAAGTCAGCTTATTGCCCCCACAAACTGGGTTCTCAATTTACCTACCTTAGAAAGGGTGGAAGGCTGAGTCAACCTTGAGCCTGGTGAGATTTGAACTTACAGTAATTGCAGACAGCTGGTGTTAATCACAATGCTATCAGTCTGCTGAGCCATCAGGCCCTTGTTTGATGTAAAGGATCTAAATTCATTAGATTAAATGCATTAAATTCAATATGAATCTTTGCATTAACCACTGGTCATGGATGGTTTCATTTTTTCTAAATATAAGGGTGTCCTCCAAGAGTAAGATGATTAAATTTTTGTTCCATTCAGTTGTGTCCAGTTTTGGGGAGATTGGACATGTTTCCATAGTTTACTTGGCAAGGACTTTCAGAATTGGTTTGCCATTGTCTTTCTCCTAAGGCTGAGAGAAAGTGAGTGGCGTGCCCAAGGTCACCCAGCTAGGTACTGTATGTGTCTAAGGTGGAACTAGAACTCACAGACTCCCAGTTTCTGACCTGATGCCTTCACCACTACAGAAAACAGGCTCTTTTCATAGGGTTAGAGAAAGCTAAACAATTAGCAAGCTAAGTGTTCTTGCCTTAAATATAGCTGACCCTACTATCAGGCAATACTGTCGATCAGGAGGTTGGCAGTTCAGCAGTTTGAATCCCTAGTGTGCCGCGTAACGGAGTGAGCTCCCGTTACTTGTCCCAGCTCCTGCCAACCTAGCAGTTCGAAAGCACGTAAAAAATGCAAGTAGAAAAATAGGGACCACCTTTGGTGGGAAGGGAACAGTGTTCCGTGCGCCTTTGGCATTGAGTCATGCCGGCCAGATGACCACGGAGACGTCTTCGGACAGCGCTGGCTCTTGGGTTTGAAACGGAGATGAGCATCGCCCCCTAGAGTCGGAAATGACTAGCATGCATGTGTGGGGGAATCTTTACCTATAACTTAGGTAAAGGTAAAGGTTCCCCTCACATATATGTGCTAGTCATTCCCAACTCTAGGAGGTGGTGCTCATCTCCGTTTCAAAGCCAAAGAGCCAGTGCTGTCTGTAGACGTCTCCGTGGTCATCTGGCCGGCATAACTCAATGCCGAAGGCGCACAGAGCACTATTACCTTCCCATCAAAGGTGGTCCCTATTTTTCTACTTGCATTTTTTACGTGCTTTCGAACTGCTAGGTTGGGAGAAGCTGGGACAAGTAATGGGAACTCATTCCATTACGCGGCACTAGGGATTCAAACCAATGAACTGACGACCTTTTGATCGACAAGTCAGCGTCTTAGCCACTGAGCCACCACGTCCCTTTACCTTACTATCAGGCAATTTGGCACTGATGATTGACATACGCTGTATCCACCTTATTTACAAAAAATATTTCATCCATGGTAAAAAGAAAAGTCAAAGAAAAAATGTCCATCTGATTGCTTAAGGAGTTGAGCTTTCCAAGGATCTCTGTTTCCTTCTTGGCAGGAAGAAAAGGGGACCTGTTCGGATCCAAGGGTTCATATACTCACCACTTTTCCCTGTGGACCTGGAGGTCCCGTAGACCCCCTCTCGCCCCGATCTCCCTGCAAAAGAGAAGATGGAAGGTCAGGTGGTCATGGGCAGAAGGAATAACCTTGAGGAATAAGAGGAAGAGCTGCAACCAAGACAACAGTCAGATAAGGAAAAATCTGAATATGGGCTAGAACTGCAATCTGAGTAAGTGATTCAGACAACCCCCTCCTTTGCTCTCAAAGACAGAGGGAGAACCATATTCAGCCTTGCAAGCAGAGATGAAATCCAGCAGGTTCTGACAGGTTCTGGAGAACCGGTAGTGGAAATTTTGAGCAGTTCGGAGAACCGGCAAATACTGCCTCTGGCTGGCCTCAAAGTGGGGTGGGAATGCAGATTTTGCAGTGTCCTTTTCCCCAGGAGTGGGGTGGGAATGGGGATTTTGCAATATCCTTCCCTGAGGAGTGGGGAGGAATGGAGATTTTGCAGTATCCTTCCCCTGCCACGCCCACCAAGCCACACACCACGCCCACCAAGCCACGCCCACAGAACCGGTAGTAAAAAAAAATGGATTTCACCACTGCTTGCAAGGTTCTCTTTCTATAACTTGGCAATAAAATTAGTTATTAACAGGCGTGACTTCCTAGTTGAGTCTACCTTGAAAGACTGAATCAGGAGGTCCAATTCGCCATTCAATCTCAGTTTTCCACATAAAACAGGGGTTCAGGAATCTAAGGGTGGAACTACACCTTCCAGAAGCCCCAGCCAACATGAGCCAAGATGAGAGAGGCCAAAAATTGCCATTCCGTCCTTGAAGGACCATTGTAACTCACAGTAACTCTAGCCTGAATAGAAGATCAGGATTTCCAAGAAGAACACTGTATCTTAAGAGGAGAGGATGGGACCCCTCACAAAAGTCTTAGAAAAAAAATCAAACTTTTCTGGAAAATTAAACAGACAACTGAAATCCGCCCTCTATCACCCACATATTTGATGGAAGAAAGTCTTCACCTCGCAGGGGAAATTTTGGAATATTAGAACGGTAGAGTTGTAAGTACTGTAAGCCTACGATTCTTTGCAGACTCACTTTCACACCAGCAATGCCTCGAAGACCCACTGCTCCCGGTGGACCCGGCTCTCCCTAAAAGAGGCGATGAAGAACAAAAGAAAAAAATATGTAGCCTTTTGCTGCAAAAACCTGTGGCAAGAGAAATACGGGATCAAAGAAAAACACGCATGCTATGAAAGTAATTCAAAGTTATTTACATAGGATTTGTTCAGCTCAGCACAGCTGGCGGTCTTTGCTGGCTGGCTTGTATTATTTCATAGGGCAATGCTTCCCCCTTCTGGCAGCGACTGGGAGTGCAGGCATCACAGCCATCCTTTTTTTTTGGGGGGGGGGGTTGAAACAACCAGCGAATGCCAGGGGGAGCCTGGCACTTTCTTCCCCAGCCAGGGAATTGACCAAACTCCAATAATTATTTCTTGAATGCCTTTATTTATTTTTTTATATAAACTTTTCTTGAATTCCTTTATATCTATGTTTATAGACAAGAAAGATGACACGAAGATGTCTTCAGAAAGTAAACATTTAGCTGGCTTGGGCTAAATGATCTGGCTAGTTCAAGTTTGCAGCCATAGCTCAGTGAAATCACATCCACTATCCTAGGCTTCTTCAAACAGCAAGCAAGCATAGGCAGCAAAATGCTTGCTTGCTGTCTGAAGAAGCCTAGGACAGTGGATGTGATTTCACTGAGCTATGGCTGCAAACTTTGGTTATTCGGGTCTTCTCCCACGTAAAATTGGAAGTGTCTTGGCGACGTTTTGACAAAGTCTCATTCGTCATCTTCAGGCTGGTGTTCTCGGCTTCGTGCTTACAGGAGCAATGTGAGATCGCATTGGAAGCATGAAGCCGAGAACACCAGCCTGAAGATGACGAATGAGACTTCGTCGAAACGTCGCCAAGACACTTCCAATTTTACGTGGGAGAAGACCCGAATAACCAAAGACCTACATACAAACACCCACGAAAACCTGAGAAAACACACACACACACACACACACACACACACACACACACACACACATATATATACACAATGTGTGTATGTATGTATGTATGTATGTATAATATTTATTAATATGGATAAAAGAAAGAGTGTACAACACTATTAAAAAGCAACTCATTTTCTCCTTTGACAAACATAACCAGACACACATTAGACTGAACAGGCATCAGAACCTCTTGAAGGCAGAAGATACAGATTTGCCCCTTTGGAAAGGTGGGGAATTCCACACTGCAGAGGTTATGCGCTTGAAATAACGCGGCTTGCTCTTATAGTTCTTAAGGAGACACCACCAGGTTGTAGAATCCACTAGAAAAAGAAGCTGTGTTAAAAATCCTTCTACCCCTCCTCCTACCCCTGCCCCCTCCTCCTCTTCCTCCTCCTGAAAGACTCAATGATAGCAATTATTTTGCAACTTATATACCGCTTCACGGTGCTTTACAGCCCTCTCTAAGCAGTGGATAAAAAAGGTAAATCCAGTCTAAACCAGGGGTAAAATCCAGCAGGTTCTGACAGGTTCTGGCGAACTGGCAGCAGAAGTTTTGAGTAGTTCGGAGAACCGTCAAATGCCACCTCTGGCTGACCCCAGAGTGGGGTGGGAATGGAGATTTTGCAGAATCCTTCCCCCAGGAGTGGGGAGGGAATGGGGATTTTGCAGTATCCTTCCCCCAGGAGTATGGTGGGAATGGAGATTTTGCAATACCCTTCCCCCAGGAGTGGGGAGGTAATGGGGATTTTGCAATATCCTTCCCCCAGGAGTGGGGAAGGAATGGGGTTTTTTCAGTATCCTTCCCCTGGAGTGGGGTGGGAATGGGGATTTTGCAGTATCCTTCCCCTGCCGTACCCCCCAAGCCACGCCCACAGAACCGGTAGGGAAAATTTTTAGATTTCACCCCTGGTCTAAATATCTGGCTATGTGACCAATCATAATAATATTATTATCAATCATAACACTGTATTGTATTATATTATTATAATAAAATAATATACATGTAGCCTTTGACTTACAATAGTTCATTTGGTGACTGTTTGAAGCTACAATGGCAATGAAAAAAGTGACTTATGACCCGTTTTTCACACTTACAACATTGCAACATCCCTGTAGTCACATGATCCAAATTCAGATGCTGGGCAACTGGTTCCTATTTATGACGCGTTGCTGCATCCTGAGGTCACGTGATCAGTTTTTGTGACCTTCTGACAAAGTCAATGGGGAAGCCGGATTCAGGTACAACTGATTGAACAACGGCAGTGATTCACTTAACAACAGTGGCAAGAAAGGTCGTAAAACGGGGCAAAATTCATTTAACAACTGTCTCACTTACTGTAGCAACAGAAATTTTGGGCTCAATTGTGGGTGTAAATCAAGGACTACCTGTATTAGGAATTTTTTTTTAAAAAGCCTGAATGAAAGTAATGGCAGATCACTTATACTTATTACTAAAGAGACCTTCTGCTTTAGACCCTCTTAGCCAGCCTGTCTGAACTTCTGTGTTTTTTTTTCCTTTTTTTGACTTTACTTTTTTCCTACTTAGACAAAATAATTTGCAATTAGCTGGATGCCCATGCTTCGCTACGAAACTATGTGCTCGGGCTTGATAAATTGACACTTGCAGCCTGAAACATAATGTAGAATGTGTAACTCCATAGCATCAGAGTGCGTTAATATAACGCAACTGGCAGTTGGAACAGACGGAGGGGGAGTAGAATGTCCCAGCCCGCAGCATCCATCGGTATTCATCCGGCTAGCATTCTGTCAGTGTGTGAGAGAGTTGAGGGGTGTTTGAAAACTCAAACAGTATTTGCTGTGTGAGCAAGAAGGAGACAGGAAGGAAGCTAGGCATGGCTCAGCTCAACTGTTCTGTAGTAAAGCTGCTTGCTGCTGTGAAAGTAAAACTGAAAATGAAACTCCTCTCCTCTGCTTGTGTTTTGCATTTGGAACAGATTTTTTTTGAGGTAGGGAGGGGGAGTAGAACTCCTTAGCTTCAGAGCGTGTTAATAATAATAATATAGGGAATAGTAATGCTCTGATGGTCATTTCAAAAAAATCATTTCTTAGTGAGCACCTAGAAGCCAAGAGGAACATACGTGACAAATTTCAAGTTTGTAGGCTCTACGGTTCTGGAGATTTCGTGATTAACGCATGAGTGGTTTTCGCTTTTATATATATATAGATATGGAAAAAAAAAGCAGAATGCTTTTGCCTTGCAGATCCATCTAAGTAAGCAGCAAGCTTCAATTTCCCTATGGGAACATGATTTTGATCAGTTCAAGAGCTTCAGAACACCAGAGCCCTCTGGCTTCCCCAAAGTTTTATGGCAGACATGGGTGATGCCCTCTGAAAAGGCAGGAAGCTCGAGATTTCGGCTTGGGGCCCACTTCTCCTTCTGCGGGGGCCTCTGAACTACCACAACAGACACAACCATGACCTTGAGCTGAAACCTGGAAACAGTGAGATGGAGGGACAAACCAAATAGAAATGAACTGTTTTGGGAATCATCTTGGTTAAAAAAAAAAAAAGAAAAAGATGAATAATGCAAAAAAAAAAAAAAAAGGAGGGGAAGATGTAAGAAACAAGAAAGGTGATGAAAAGGTTTTTTTCCCAATGCTCTCGAAACGCGGTTGATAGAAGAAAGAAAGAGATGGAAAGTCTCTTGTCAGATCCCTAAAAGTGATACTGCCATTCAATTGGGAGAAGGGGGAGACTTGGATTCGATTTACTAACATTGCCTGTGTCAACAGATATTTTACAATCTATATCCTGGCGCCAAAGAGCCCTGAGATCCCCTTAACGTGGAGGAATGTTTATGATAGCCATGTGGGCTGTTTCTCTTTAAAGAAGAAAGGAGAAACAATGTGAATACATACATATCCGGGTTCTCAGGGCAGCTGGTAAAGAAAACATCTTCACACTTGTGTATTGGTTAAAATCTGCATTCTGGCTAAAGGGAGGGGTCTCTACTGCTTTAATCCTACTTGTCTTGCCTAAGGGTATTCAGATCTTGCGTTGAATCGATTGCTGTCACTTCTACTTAATAAAAGGGTCCTTTTGAAATACTACGTTTCAAGAGTTTTTACTTTCTTAAGTTGGAAGGAGAGGCAATCCTTACAGTCTCTTTTACTTACAATTTTTCCAGATGGCCCAGGTAAACCTGACGGGCCGCGGGTTCCTGGTTCGCCCTAGGAAGACATTAAGAAGAAAATGCACATCATCCGTTCCCCATTCATCAGGAGTGCATGGAAGAGGTAAAATAAAATAATTCAAGTAACAAGGAGAGGAAGAGGCCTAAATCCATACCTTCTCTCCAGGACCACCTTTGCTCCCAGGAGTGCCTGGCAAACCCTTTGGGAAGAGAAGAAAATATCAGAATTCGAATAGAGCTGGAAGGGACCTTGGAGGTCTTCTAGTCCAGCCCCCTGCTCAAACAGGACACCCTGTATCATTTCAGACAAGGGACTGTCCAGTCTCTTCTTAAAAACCTCCAATGATGAAGCACCCACAACAAGCTGCTCCACTGGTTAATTGTCCTCACTGTTGGGAAGTTTCTCCTTAATTCCAGGTTGCTTCTCTCTTTGATTTGTTTCCAACCATTGTTTCTTTGTCTTGCCCTCTGGTGCTTTGGATAATAAATTGACCCCCTCCTCTTTGTGGCAACTTCTTAAATACTGGAATACTGCTATCATGTCCCCCCCCCTTAATTATGTCCTTCCATAATTTGGAAAAATCCAATTTATTTGGTCTACATCAGGAGGTCAGCAACCTGCGGCTCTGGAGCCGCATGTGGCTCTTTCACCCCTCTGCTGCGGCTCCCTGTCACTCAAAATATGCGTCACAACCACCAATGTGCGATACCTGCCGACACATGATTTATTCAGCTTTTCAACCCCGGTAGGCCAACCATGGATAAATCAAAGAAAAGAAAAGTTTCAGAAGAAAACTGAACATTTAATTCAACTACATATGCTAGTTTTGTGCCGCTCAAAAAATAGTCAGGAATGGGTAGGGTTTTGTGGCTCCCGAAGTTTTCTTTTCTGTGGGAAACGGTCCAAATAGCTCTTTGAGTGTTTAAGGTTGCAGACTCCTGGTCTACACAAGTCTTCCTATAGGATGATTCCTTCAATGATCTGGTTGCAGAGAAGCCAATTGTAAGCTCCGGAATCATTTTCTTTTGAGAGTGGGGCACTGTTGCAAAATGGCATCAGATGGGAAGCTCACTTCAAGCCAGACTTGACTCCAGGTAACTACCTGGACAAGTCCCTGAAGTTTTCTTGGCAAGATTTTCAAAGCAGTTTGCCATTATTTCCTTCCTGGGACTGAGAGAGGGTGATTGGCTTGAGGACACCCAACTGGCTTTGGGCCTAAGGCAGAAGACTTTACGGTCTCCTGATTTCTAGTCCAGGATCACCATCACTACGTCAAACTGGCTGTCATTGCCTTCAAGTCAATCTTGACTTTTGCTGTCTACATTGGGGTGTCCAACCATAGCAACTTTTAAGACTTATGGACTTCAAGTCCCAGATTTTCCCCTGGCTACCTGGGGAATTCTGGAAATTGAAGTCCCTAAGGTTTAAAGTTGCCAAGGTATGACACCCTTGGTCTACAAGAACAAAGTCCTGTCGTTTTCTTAGCAACATTTTCAGAAAGTCTTTTTCCCTTCCAGGGGTGAGAGAGAGAGGGAGGAGCTGGCCGAAGGTCATCTGTGTGGTTTCCATGTCTAAGACAGAAGGTTTTTTTTTTTTAATTCCAGTGTCTTTAATTACTCCACCAACTGTCCTCTCACAATGCCCTGGCATCGTTTTAGAAGCTCTTGCCAGCCTAGGAAAATAAGCCACTTTTTGAAATTCGGCAATAATTACAGACACAATTATTTCTCTGAACACGAGTGACTCTCTTGTTCTATTGGAAGGAGCCCATTTCTGTAGCAATTCCTGTCCTTTTTGGGAAAAGGTTTCCTGAACCTGTCCATAATACATAATTTTCCATTAGAGTTCCCATTTACAGCAATTACAATTTGGGCAAGTACCAGCCCGTTTTTAACAAAAACCAAAAACAAAATCTGGTGATTTCCTTTCAAAGGCGGCTTCCAGGGTTGTTGGGAGTTTGGGCTGGGGGTGTTTTTGTGAGTGTGTGTGTGGGGGGGGCTTGGAGGAAAACCAAGCAGCAGGTGTTTGATTTGAAACGTTGGCAGAATGCAAGTTTAGTTTTGGGTGATGATGGAACCTAATTTGTTCTGTTTTGGAACAACCCAATACTTACAGCCACTCCTCTGTGTCCCAAAGGCCCTGGAAGGCCTGGTTGACCCACACTTCCCTATATGGCAAAAAAGAGAAGGAATAAGGAAATTAGGAAAGATGCAAAGAGAACGGCAAGTACAGGTAGTTCTCTATCTACAACCATTCATTTAGTGACCATTCAAAGTTACAACGGCAGTAAAAAGTGACTTCTTTTTCACACTTAAGACCCGTGCAGCATCCCCACATCACGTGATCAAAATTCGGACACTTGGCCACTGATTCGTATTTGTGACGGTTGCAATGTCCCCGGGGTTACGTCATCCCTTTTTGTCACCTTCTGACAAGTAAAAAATCAATGGGGCAGCTAGATTCACTTAACCATCATGGTGCTAACTTAAAAACAGTGGTGATTCACTCGACCACCGTGGCAAGAAAGGTTGTAAAATGGGACAAAACTCACTTAACAACCGTCTTGCTGAGTGGTGAGAATTTGGGGCTTGGTTGCGGGCGTAAGTCGAGGACTCCCTGTATTAGCTACCAGATGGATGGGATGCTTTGTTTCCTTCCTTTAAAACAGAAAGAACTTAATGAAACTAAATTTGAAACGGAATATCCCAGCCTGACTAAAGCAGAACGCAGGTAGTCCTTAATGTACAACCAGGGGTGAAATGCGCCCGGTTCGCACCGGTTCAGCCAAACCGGTAGCGATGACGGCCGGTGGTTCAGAGAACCAGTAGCGATGGTGGCCGGTGGTTTGAAGAACTGGTAGCGATGGCGGCTGATGATTCAGAGAACTGGTAGCGATGGCGGCCGATGATTCAGAGAACTGGTAGCGATAGCGGCCGGGTGGTTTGGAGAACCGGTAGCGATGGTGGCCGGTGGTTTGGAGAACTGCTAGTGATGGCGGCCGATGATTCAGAGAACTGGTAGCGATGGTGGCCGGTGGTTTGGAGAACTGCTAGCGATGGCGGCCGGTGATTCAGAGAACTGGTAGCGATGACGGCCGGTGGTTTGGAGAACCGGTAGCGATGGTAGCCGATTATTCAGAGAACTGGTAGCGATAGCGGCCGGTGGTTTGGAGAACTGGTAGCGATGGTGGCCGGTGGTTTGGAGAACTACTAGCGATGGTGGCCGGTGATTCAGAGAACTGGTAGCAATGACAGCCGGTGGTTTGGAGAACTGCTAGCGATGGCGGCCGATGATTCAGAGAACTGGTAGCGATAGCGGCCGGTGGTTTGGAGAACCGGTAGCGATGGTGGCCGGTGGTTTGGAGAACTGCTAGCGATGGCGGCCGGTGATTCAGAGAACTGGTAGCAATAGCGGCCGGTGGTTTGGAGAACCGGTAGCGATGGTGGCCGGTGGTTTGGAGAACTGGTAGCAATAGCGGCCGGTGGTTTGGAGAACCGGTAGCGATGGTGGCCGGTGGTTTGGAGAACCAGTAGCAATGGTGGTCGATGATTCAGAGAACTGGTAGCGATAGCGGCCGGTGGTTTGGAAACCGGTAGCGATGGTGGCCGGTGGTTTGGAGAACTGCTAGCGATGGTGGCCGGTGATTCAGAGAACTGGTAGCGATAGTGGCCGGTGGTTTGGAGAACTGCTAGCGATGGCGGCCGGTGATTCAGAGAACCAGTAGCGATGGTGGCCGGGGGTTTGGAGAACTGCTAGCAATGGCGGCCGGTGATTCAGAGAACTGGTAGCGATAGCGGCCGGTGGTTTGGAGAACTGGTAGCGATGGTGGCCGGTGGTTCAGAGAACTGGTAGCGATAGTGGCTGGTGGTGCGGAGAACCGGTAGCGATGGTGGCGTGAGGCTCCACCCACTTGCCCGGTCATCGTTAGTTCCTGGTTTTAACCAGGAAGTTTTAACCAGGAAGTAACCTGTTTTTTACCCTCTGTGCATGTGCAGAGGGTCCGCGCACGCACTTCTGAACCGGTTGGGAAGGTAAGTAGAATTCACCCCGTGTACAACCATTTGTTGAGTGGCTGTTCAAAGATATGGTGGCGCTGAAAAAAATGACTTACAATTGGTCCTCACACTTACAACCATTGCAGCATCGTCACAGTCATATGATCAACATTTTGGGCCCATGGAAACCGGCAAGCATTTACATTGATCGCAGCATTCCAGGGTCATGTGATCCCCATTTGAAACCTTCCCAGGGGACTTCTAACAAGCAAAGACAATGCGCGAAGCCAGGTTCGTTTTAACGGTTGTAAAAATTGGGTGCAGTTAAGTGGTGACTCACTTAAGGACCACATCACTTAGTGACAGAAGTTCCAGTCCCAGTTGTGGTCTTAAGTCGAAGAATACCTGTCATGTGGATAGATTCCTTCCATTATTTGGACATTATACTCAGTTGATGCAGGCTAAAAATTCCATTTCCCTTCTTTGCCCTCACATCATCTTGTGTGATGTCCCCCTTGGATGACTCCTCAGAATCTTCCTCAGAGGTCGGCTCAAGGGAGGATGAGCTCATTCCTGGTACATCAGGAACTGGGTTAATTAATGACTCTGAACAGCCAACCGAAAGAGATTTACGGGGGACTTCGGCTGGGGAAAGCTTTCAGGGGCAGACAGTCAGTGAAAAGGAGGAGGAGTTGCCTTCCATGGTGGATCCAAGAGCATGCAGGGCAGAGAAAAGACAAGAGCAACAGAGATCTGCCAGATTATTTGGGAGAAGGCCCGCCCGTCTTGATGGGCTGCACCAGAAAGCTATTTATCATGGCAGGCAGTGGGAGGCATTACTGGGAAGATGTTTGATTTATGACTGTGTGTGTTTGTTTCTGGTGCTTCCTGCTTGACTTTGCGCCCTGGAGACTCTGAACTTCTTTTGCCAAGTGAGCGCTTGTGGCTGTATCACAGTTTGGCCTGGTGGATTTTAGTTGGTTTGTGGACTTACTTGTTGGAGCAACTTTCCATTGTTTTATGGACTATTGGCCATTGCCTTGTGGACCAACCTTGGCCTGCTTGTGGCTGGATTTATTTGGGACAGTTCTGAGGCTGGGTGAAGGGAACTGCTGGGGAACATCAACAAACCCTCTAAACCATACATACATGTATGTGTGAGTGAGTGGGACAGCACATCTTGCTGGCTCAAACCCAGTTTTATTATCAACCACAATTCCAAGTTTTTCCCCCACCATTGGATTTGGATTTCTGTTTCCTAAGTGCATGACTTCATTCTGTGCTTTACAGCCCATTTCCTTCATCTATCAACACTGTTTTGAATCAAATTCCATTTCTAGCGTCTAAGGTATAATCTAATCAACCAAACATATCTCCTCTGCAGATCAATAAACTATCCACCCACCTCATCAACCAAGGTGTTAATAGAAATATTGACCAAGCAAAAAGAAAGGCCAAACTGCACCCCGAGACAAATGTTGGCCCAGAATTATCTTTCTTCCACCATTACACCCCCGCCCCCCCGTCTTCTCTTGCCACCTACAGTATTCAGCATAAAAATATAGAGTAGAGTAGAGTAGAGTAGAGTAGAGTAGGAATAGGAATAGGAATAGGAATAGGAATAGAATTTTATTGGCCAAGTGTGATTGGACACACAAGGAATTTGTCTTGGTGCATACGCTCTCAGTGTACATAAAAGAAAAGATACATTCATCAAGAATCATAAGGTACAACACTTAATGATAGATAGTCATAGGGAACAAATAAGCAATCAAATCATACTAAGAACTAATCAATACCAATATAAATCATAAGGATACAAGCAACAAGTTACAGTTAATATTAATTTTAATAAGGTTATGGTTACATTAGTTCCATTAAATTAGCAGTTACATTGCCTTATGAGTCTTAAAACATTTAAAACATGTCACAGTCACGGCAACATCTGGCTATTCCTGATTGATTTCAAAAAGCTTAGCAGTGTCACACTTCTGGAGGATTACAGGAGTATAATGGGAAGTTGTAAAGCATCTTAGGAGAATGGTGTGGCAACCCACTTCAGGATCATTTGCAAGAAAACGTCATAGGTGACCAACTCCCTGAAGTCATCAGGAATCAAACTGGACCAGAGAATGACTTCTTCCTCTCCAGGGATATATTATGGGGGAACAACTGTGTTTCCCAGGTCAGGGACTGGCTCCCTGCTCAGGGGAACTGTGAGAGAAAAATTCCCTCACAGTTGCTGTGCCTATTAATGGCCTTTGGCTTAGACAATTAAATAAGCCAATCAGAGAGCAGCTCCTGGATTTGAATCTCCCGGGCTTTTCTAGGCCCTCCCCTAACTGCCACTGTGACAGTATAAAAGGAGATGTCTGACAGCAGACATGTTAGGTCGGGCTTCGGGATCAGAGGCAGAGCTGAAGTCACTAAAGCCTCTTCCTTCTGAGGAAGAAAAGCCCAAACTCCAATCGCATAGAGCGATTGCACCAGAGAGCTGACAGGACACTTAAGAAAGAGAATGACATCTAATATTCCTTTTGAATAGACCTTCTTTTATTTTATGTAAATAAAAACAGTTTAGTGTAAACTGCTCGTGAAGTTCATTTGTTCTAGTAGATTGTAAAAGAGATAAGGTTACGGTCCATCGAGGCCCCCTCCATCACAGGAACACAACAAAATCTGCTCCACACTCTTAGCTTGCAGCTCTGCTGGCCCTAAAAAATGACTTCCTTCATTTCATCTCTGGATATTTTTCCCTTAGGTCCGTGATGGCGAACCTATGGCATGCGTGCCACAGGTGGCATGCAGAGCCCTCTCTGCGGACACATGAGCCATCACCCCAACTCAGCTCCACCTCGCATGCACGTTTGCCTCCCGCCGGCCAGATGATTTTGGGGTCTCTGCCACACATGCGCGGGGGGCAGGCCACACGTGCATGCGGGGGAGACAGGGGGAGTGCAAGGGGGTGCGGCACGCTCCCCCACAGCCCGTTTTGGGCCTAGCAGGCCTCTCTGCAGCCTCCTGGGACAAAAAACAGGCCATGGGGGGTCACCGCACCCCTCCCCCAGTTTGTTTTGGGCCTAGCAGGTCTCCCTGCACCTCCTGGAACCAAAAACGGGCCATGGCCCGTTTTTGGTCCCAGGAGGTTGCAGGGAGGCCTGCTAGGCCCAAAACAGGCTGGGGGGTGGGAGGTGCGCTATGTGCGCATGTGTGGGGGTGCGGGGCGCAGGGCGGGCACTTTCGGCATGTGACGACAAAAAGGTTAGCCATCACTGCCCTAGGTGATGGTGGGCTGATGGAAGGGTTGGTCAAAAAAGTCAAGACAGCACCCATACCAACATGGTCACGGTGGCTCTCCATCCAGATGTGCTGCTGTGGACTCCACTCACTTTTTGAGATCAATCATGAATAGCCAAATGTTGCACTTCTTGAGGGCCTCTTCTTACCTTCACCCCAGGAACGCCAGGAAATCCATCTTTGCCATCAATCCCAGGAAGACCCTAGAAGTGGTGGTGGGGGGGAGAAGAGTGGGGCATTATTTCTGACCTCTAATGGAAAAGTAAGCCAGCTTCCCGTCATCATTCCCAACATCTCGCTGGGCTGGAAAGAAAATGTACTCACCCGTGTTCCTTTGGGGCCCATTTCGCCCTCAGCACCACTGAAACCACGGGGACCCTCAAAAAGGGGAAAGGAAAGGCTCTGTTATTGGTATACATACCCAATACACCATTATAAATAACAGAACATACCAATATACTATCATGAATAACAGAGTAACATATTGGAAGGAACCTTGGCGGTCTTCTCCTCCAACCTCCTGTTCAAGCAGGAAACCCTATACTCGTGATGGCAAACCTATGGCACGCATGCCAGAGGTGGCATGCAGCGCTCTCTCTGTGGGCATATGAGCCATCGCCCCAGTTGAGCTCTGCCACATATGTGTGCGTGCCTCTCACCAGGCAGCTGTCTTCGGGTCTCTGCTGCGCATGCACAGTGGGATGGGCGCATGCAGGGGGACATGTGCACATGCACAGGGGGGCGGGGCACACACATGGGGCTGTGCATGCATGTGCACTGGGCACGTGTGGGGCGCATGTGGGGGGGCGCGTATATGTGCAGGGACAGGGGGCATGCAGGGGGCTGCGCACACATGTGTGGGGGCGGGGCACAATTGTGGGGCCACACGCACATTGCATTTTGAGAGTGTTAGGAAATGGTTATTTGTCTAACTAGTTGGTCAGGCAATATATAAACCAACAATGTATGTTTGCAGTCAGAAAGATATTATATTGCTTTAAGACTATATTGCATCATCCTGTATCCTGATTGGCTAAGCTCTATAGCCAATGTACTTAAGGGAAGTCAGGATTATGGCTTGTGTGAATACTACACCATTTTCCCTGTTTATTTGCTGTAACTCTCTACCTGATCTCTCTGCATGATCACTGTTTGATCATAGTTACATGTTGTTTTCTACTATTTATTGAATTTTGATATTGAACTTGTTCCTGTTTTGAAACTCAAGAAGAACTGTTTTATAGTGTATGACTACAACTGGTAAGAGGACTTTGTACTTGAAATATCCCTGGATTGATCTTTTAACTCTCATCTTATCTGTGTATGACTTGGATTGTTTTTGGACTTTGCTTTACTTTTTCTAAAAGTAAAAGACTACAACAACTCAGTGTGTTTGTATGTTGACTGTGATTGTTCACAACCACTCCCAGTCGCTTTTCATGCGTTTACTCAAAGGGTACTCTGCTCAATAACCTACAACATTGGTTATGAGCCAAGAATATCCTTAACAGAGGTTCAGGTGCACACATGTGTAAATGCACGCATGCGCTTTGGGCACTCAGTCCGGAAAAGGTTAGCCATCCCTGCACTATACCATTGACAAGTACTAACAAGTACGTGAGAAGTACTAAGTCCAGGAAATCAACTGAACACTAATCTCCCAAGTTCAGAGCTTTAAGAAAACCAAAGGTTGATTCATGAATCAAGGCTTCAGAACATATAAGCAAGTCTGGACTGGGCTAATTCTTGGATGGGAGGCCACTCAGACATCCCAGGACTGTAGATGCAGCTTGGGAAGTCGAAGAAGGCTCAGCTCTGAAACTCCAACCGTATTTTTCAGCTTTATTTACTTCAATAAGTAACTCCAAAAATAAATGGGGAAGAGTTATTTCTTGCAGAAGAGTATTCAAGAAATATTTTTCTGCAAGAAAAACTTTTCTATTTATTTTTGGAGTTAACTTGTTGACGTAAATAAAGCTGATGGATTCAGTGGATTAATATGTGTGGGTGTTACCGTTTCCCCCAAAATAAGACCTCCCCTGATAATAAGCCCAATTAGGCTTTTGAGTGCATGGCAATAACGCCAAGTGCTTATTTCAGGGTTCAAAAAAATATTAAAAAGGGTCTTATTTTCGGGAAAACATGGTAGATGCACCAATTTTACTTCCTCCTCCTTTCAAGGAACTTGCAGAAGAATATTCCAGAAATACTCTTCTGCAAGTTCCTTGAAAGGAGGAGGAAGTAGAATTGGCACATCTAATACCCACATAGATTAATCCACCGAGTGGTGGGAATTATTCAGTTCTTCTCTCCCAGGAATGGAGAAGGAACAAATGCATTACATATACACAGGTAGTCCTTCACAGACAACGTATGACAATGTAACGGGTTATCACATGAGTAACCTGACTTTATGACCGTTTTTGCAGTTGGTGGTTAAGCAAATGCATTAGTCATAAAGCAGCCACAGTGGTTGTTAAGTGAACACAGTGGTCATTAAGCAAACCAATGGTTTGCTATAGGCACAGTTTTGCCAAAAATTGAAAAGGGGCAGTTTTTTCTTAAAACGATCCTAAAATGCAGCCTGTGCAACATTGTAAACGATCTCACAGGAGCCCATGTTGCTGAGCACCCGAAGTTCGGTTATGTGAATGTTGGAGCATCAGAAATTCAGAACCGGGTCATAAGATTCCTTTTTGGATCAATTCGAGGACCCCCTGTACAGTGCCATCGGTGCTTTCGGTATGGCACTCCGCTTTTCAAAGATTTAATGCAATGCTTCAGAAAAATAAAATCACTCACAATTTCTCCCTTCTCTCCAACTTGTCCTGGGGGCCCCTTGGGACCATCTTCACCCTAAATCATGGTTACAGAGAAAGTAATGAGTAGAAGTGTTTATGCAACAGGATTAGCCTGAGCAAATCCATCTTGGCTGTAGCCACTCAATATGCATATTAATGGGCTAATTGCAAACCAGCGACTACCTTTGCATAACACACCAGTCTGGGCTAATGTTAAGCACAGGTGGATTCTTTGGGGCTTCATATGATGCAGGAACTGGGGTTCCTGGGGCCTCAGTAGAGTAATCCCAGCGCCTTTGAAAAAGCTGCCAGGTGAGGAAAAATGGGAGCAATCCAGAGCCCCATTACTCTTAAATTCTGACATGAGTAGCACTGGAGACCCAGCCACTTAATTTCAGGTGCTGTATCCTTGAGAGCTGCAGATCAAGAAATCCATTGCTCCAATTTTACCTTAATCTTAAAATTGCTTAAGCATCCAATATTCTCTTAAGAATCACATTTTCAGGATGTAAGGAATGTTGATCATCAGGTTTTATAAGTGGGTACAGAAGGGTTTTTAGGATGGAAATTCTCGGGATCAGAATCACCCCCAAATTCAAAATGCCAACATGAAAGGATTAGGGATTCCTTCCTTCCTTCCTTTCCCTTCCCTTCCCTTCCCTCCCATCCCCTTTCTTCCATTCATGTTCCTTCCTTCCTTCCTTCCCCCCTCCCTCCTTCCCTCCCTCCCTCTCCTTCCTTCTTCCACTCTTCCTCATTCCTTCCCTTCCCTTCCCCTCCCTTTCCTCTTCCAAGGATCACAAATTTGAACAAATTACCAAAAACTACCTTTAGCATCCCTTGTGAATCCATCTAAGAAGTTCTTCCTGGCAGTCAACCTCCTTACGTCAAACCAGGCAGAACATAGGAAAATGTAGATGAACCACTTTTGGAAATGTCACATCTTGCTATTTTTTTTCCTCCTTATCCAAAGACTTTTGCCCAGGAAAATCAGAGAGGGAGCTTTCATTCCTGAACGTTACTAGCCCCATAAGGCTGGGTGATTAACAAAGAAATTAGAAATGAATATAAAAGAGAAAGAAATTACCAGGGGACCAACAGCTCCAATGCTCCCAGTCATGCCTTTGTAACCTTGAGGACCCTAAAAAAAGAAAACATACAAAAAGTGAAAGGGGAATCTCACTTTGCTGAATATCAGTTTCAAACCGGGAGGATGGACAACTCCACAGCAACTCATCCATCCAGAAGGGATCTTCCCTAAAAACTTCTCAGAATTTTATCTAAGACTGCTTAGTCTTCATTTTTGTTAATGTCAGGCTCAAGGAACAAAGACTAGCCCAATGGGTGGCTCTGAAGCTCTGTTTCTGAGGCTTTTTTCCTGAAGCTCTGTTTGGAGGCTTTTTTTCTGAAGCTTCATTTCTGAGGCTTTTTTTTTTTTTGACGCTTCGTTTCTAAGGCTTTTTTCAGCCTCTGAAACCTCCATTTGAGAGGCTGAGCGGGGCTACATTCGGAGTATAAGATGCACCCATATTTTCACCCTCTTTTTTGGTGTAAAAAGGTGTGTCTTATACGCCATTTAATTAATTGATTTGGAAGAGAAGCTGCTTAAACAAGGTAGTGCCTCTTTATATTTCCTCTTGTAAGCTGTAAGATAACAAACTTCCAATTCTAACCCCAATCAGATAATTATTTCCCTTTTTGGTCATAGCAGGCACCCAGTGTCTGCTAGAAATTTAATCCTCATTCATCTGCAACCTTCCTTTACTGATTCTTAAACCGAGGAGCTCTGCGGGAGGAGGAGGGAAGAGAGGTGGCAATGGCTATAAAACATGCCCAATAAAAGCAACCCCTTTGTGAGTTGAATTCTAAATGGAAGAGGGATCCCTGGTGCTGTAACTAATTCACAGGGACAATTTAACTGCATCTTTTAATGATCCATCTGTTAAACTACTGAAGTTCGCAGATGACACAACAGTGATTGGTCTCATTCGAGACAATGATGAATCCGCATACAGACGGGAGGTTGAACAACTAGCATCGTGGTGTGACCGGAACAATCTGGAACTGAACCCACTCAAAGCCATAGAAATGGTGGTAGACTTTAGGAGAAACCCTCCCATACTACCACCTCTTATAATACTAGACAACACAATATCAACCGTAGAGATCTTCAAGTTTCTAGGTTTCATCATATCACAAGATCTAAAATGGACACCTAACATCAAAAACATCATCAAAAAAGAACAACAAAGAATGTTTTTTCTGTGCCAACTCAGGAAGCTCAAACTGCCCAAGGAGCTGCTGATCCAGTTCTAGAGACGAATTATTGAGTCTGTCATCTGCACCTCTATAACTGTCTAGTTTGGTTCTGCAACCCAACAAGACAGACACAGACTTCAGAGGATGATTAGAACTGCAGAAAAAACAATGGCTACCAACTTGCCTTCCATGGAGGACCTGTATATTGCACGAGTCAAAAAGAGGGCTGTGGAAATATTGACAGACACCTCGCATCCTGGACATAAACTGTTTCAACTCCTACTCTCAAAACGATGCTATAGAACACTGCACACCAGAACAACTAGACACAAGAACAGTTTTTTCCCGAATGCCATCACTCTGCTAAACAAATAATTCCCTCAACACTGTCAAACTAGTTACTAAGTCTGCACTACTATTAATCTTCTCATCGTTCCCACCACCCATCTCCTACCATTTATGACTGTATGACTTTAACCTTGTTGCTGGTATTCTTATGATATATATTGATATTGTTTCCTGATTGCTTATTTGTACCCTATGACTATCATTAAGTGTTGTACCTTAGAATTCTTGACGAATGTACACTGAGAGTGTGTGCACCAAAGACGAATTCCTTGTCTGTCCAATCACACTTGGCCAATAAAGATTTTTATTCTATTCTATTCTATTCTATTCTATTCTATTCTATTCTATTCTATTCTATTCTATTCTATTCTATTGACAATTTAAACAAACAAGATGATATTTGTTTCAGTCTTGGCTTTTTAATATTCTCATAGAATCGTACTGCTGGGAGGGACCTTGCAGGGCTTCTAACCCAACTGCCTGGACAAGACAGGAGTCCTTATACCATCCTGGACAAAGGATTGTCCAATCTTTTCTTGAAAACCTCCAGCAATGGAGCACCCACAACTCTGGAAGGCAAGCTGTTCCACTGATTAATAGTTCTTGCTGTCGGAAAGTTTCTCCTTAGATGTTGGTTTTCCCTCTGACAAGCTTCTACCCATTGCTTCTTGTCTTGCCTTCAGGTGCTTTGGAGAATAAGTCGACCTCTTCTTTCCTGTGACAACCCCTCAAATCCTCCAGTTTTGGTATCCATCCTACAAATTCTAAATTAGCTGGCAACACACGATATTCAGAAGAGGTGAAGACAACTTCTATCACCTTTGGTGTATAGGTAAAAAAGCTAAGAGTTCAAATATGTACTTTAATTCAGAGAATTCTTAAAACATGTGTACAACTGAAATCAGGGGAGAAGATAGCTCCTTCCAAATAGCTCTCAGCATATATGTCTTACGGAAATAGTAATTTGCTTTAGTTTGGCAAGATTCTGTCTATAGGTAAGAAATAATTAAGAAATTTGCTTGGAAGAATCATGTGTCTTGGGTTTTTTGAGCCCTGACACATACCTAATATTCTTTCCTCCTCCTACTTTCCCCACAACAACAACAACAATGTATGAGGTAGGTTGAGTTGAGAGAGAACAACAAGTCCAAAGTCACTCACATGACTTTCAGGCCTAAAGAAGGACTAGAACTCGCATGGTACCAGTGTGGGGTTATTGTAATATCAACTCTCAAATCCCTAGTGTTTAATTCACTTACCATCTCTCCTTTTGGTCCTGCCATTCCTGGATGCCCCCTGGGACCTTCTGGGCCCTGAAAAAGAAACCAAAACTGGATTATGTAATCTGCAAACTGGGATGATCATGTCACACAAATCATCATCATCCATGGCCCAGAAGCGGTCACTGAAGGGATATTTAAAAATGTGCAATGTGGGTAAAAAAAGGAGAGGGCTCCGATGGATTGGTCATGACTATCATTCTGACTTCCACCAATCTTCTTCCCATCAGTGGCCCCTCCTGCTTTGATCCCGTTTGTCCTCTTGTGAGATGGAATATCAAAAAATATCAACAGGCTGGCTGGGGAATTCTGGGAGTCGAAATCCACACATTAAAGTTACCAATCTTGAGAAACACTGATATATGGTATCATAAAAAATATATTACATGGATTTATGAGCTCTCAGTACCTACTAATGTAGAGAGATGCCCTCTATTGTAAGTAATGACCATGTCTAGATGATCAGATATGGAAGCTTAGAAATTGTCAGAAAGTTGAATAATTATGCTTGCTTGCCAGGCTCCTAAAGTAAAATAATACATCTCCAACTTGTTCCATTTCTTGTTTTTCCTTTTCAAGCCTTGGAGGGAGACCGGAAAAAGAGAATAAGGCTATAGGAGGGTCTATGACACAAGAGTAATAAAATCTCTGGAGCAAAGGGAATGAGATTAAGAAGTAGAAATAATTAAATACATTACAGGAGGACCCTGAATGCCTTGTTCTCCAGACAGGCCCACGTCACCCTTTGGACCCTAGGAAATAAAACGAGACAAGTATCAAAGCTGTAGAAAGGACAAACATCTAGAGATGGGCTTTAAATCAAGAGAATTAGAAATCAGCCTGACTGCTTGTTTAAACTGTCAACTCCAATCACACCAAGTTAAGTTTCCAGGTTGGGAAATCTTCCTGGTGCCCTACACATTGTCAGAATTATGCCACTTCTAAATTATCAGTCAAATGGAGCCAGAGGTTCTGTTGGCAACGAATTTGGGGGTGCCAGCTGCTCAGTACCCAGAGGGCACCAATTTAAGGAAAGCTAACATACCCCATACCCCAAAAGTTTAACAGGCAGGCAGGGTTGGCTACATTAGTGCTTCTCAACTTTGGTCAGTTTAAGATGTGTGGACTTCAGTTCCCGGAATTGATGGCTGGGGAATTCTGGGAATTGAAGTCCACACATCTTAAACTAAGCAAAGTTGAGGACCACTGGGCTACATGATGGAGAGTTTTTCAGCTGGCAAACCTGGTGGCCCTGGATGAGACTTTCTTATATGCTCATCCACCAGGCTTGGTTGGCAAGAACATTTGGGATGAAACAGCACAGGATTTGAACAAAGCCCCTTAATCTTTCATAGCTAACGTTCAATCAGTTAAAGAGAAAAACGAAGGGAGGGATGAAGCAACTCCATTCTCACCAGCCGGCCTTGTCTTCCAGGCTCTCCAGAGGCTCCTGCTCGACCTCTGTGTCCCTAAAAAAGGAAAGTGAATCAAACTTTCAAAACAAATGTCAATCAACCGTTTGTAAGGGGAAGAAGGAATAACCTTGAGGAACAGAAGGAAGAGACACAACCAAGACAACAGTCAGACAAAAAAAAAAAATTGAGTGCTGGCCAGAATTATAAAATGACTCAAACAAGACCCTCCCTATAGTTCTTACGAAAATAAAAGGAGGAGAGAAACACATCCAGAACTTGTACAATTCATCAGGGTCAGCAATCACCATCATAAAAGGACAAAAGGAAAAGTGCACGTAACACCTCTGCAGCTCAAGCTGCACTGGGTGCTGGTTTCCTTCTGCTGTGTTAGTTGTGCAGGAATTGAGTATGCCTAGTCTAGTGAAAAGAAGGATGAGGGGTGTTGTGGTCCGCCAGCAGCCTGTGGAACTGGCAGCGGAGTCAGACAGTGAGGAGGCTGGGGAGGACAATGGGCAAGTCCTGGAGTCTGGGGAAGGCCTGGACGAGGGCTCTGCATCAGAGGCAGAGATGGGGCCAGGGTCACCTGGGAGCGATGCACGGACTCCGGAGCCTCCAGAGGCAGACAGCAGAGAGGCAGAGGAATAGGAGGAGCCTGTTCCTAGTGCACACATGCACACAGCTGCCAGAAGGCAAGAGCAGTTGAAGCAAAAAGGACGACTCGGGAGTAAGGCCAGGAGATGATTGGCCCCTCCCAGAAGGCTTAAAAGAGCAGCAATGAGCCGTTGGGTTTTTTGTAGAAAAGCAACGTTGACTCCCATGCTTCTTGTCAGCGTCTCTTGAACTTTGTGGGGGTTTTGCCAAGAAAAGCCTTTGGCAGGTTGCCAAAGACATCAAAGGTTGGTGATAAGGCTAAAGAATTTGTTGTGGACTAAAGCTGAGAATGAATTAATTCTCAGCTGTTTTAATAAAATAAGTTTGTTCAGGACTGAATTGTGTTTGGTAATCACTACGTGGGCCTCGGTCACAACAAGGGAAGACATGATAGCAGTGATGCAATATCTAAGGCACTGCCACAAAGAAGTGGAGGGGGGGGGTCAACCTATTCTCCAAAGCACCTGAAGGCGGGACAAAAAGCAACAAATGGAAACCAATCAAGGAGAGAACCAACCTAGAATTAAGGAGACATTTCCTTTCAATTAGAACCATGAATCAGTTCTGGCCTCCAGAAGTTGTGGGTGATTCAACACTGGAGATCTTTTAAGAAGAGATTGGACAACCATATGTCTGAAATGGTATAAGTTTCCTGCTTGAGTAGAGAATTGGACTAGAACAGGGGACTGCAACCTTAAACACTAAGAGCCATTTGGACCCGTTTCCTACAGAAAAGAAAACACCGGGAGCCACAAAACCCGTCCCGTGCCTGACTATTTCTTGAGCGGCCACAAAACTAGCATATGTAGTTGATTTAAATGTTCTGTTTTCTTCTGAAACTTTTCTTTTCTTGGATTTATTCATGGTTGGCCTACCAGGTGTTGAAAAATTCAATAAATCGTGTGCCTGCGTATGTCGCACATTGGCGGTTGTGATGCATATTTTGAGTGACAGGGAGCCGCAGCAGAGCTGAAAGAACCACATCCGGCTTCAGAGCCACAGATTGCTGACCCCTGGACTAGAAGGCCTCCTTGGAGCTGCTTGCAGGCCTCCCCCACTTTTACAATTATTTTAGACAGGTAGTCCTCGACTTACAACAGTTCGTTTAGTGGCCATTCAAAGTTACAACAGCACTGAAAAAAGTGATCATTTTTCACACTTATGACCCTTGTAGCATCCCCACGGTCGCGTGATTTACATTCGGATACTTTTTTTTTTTTTTAATTTGATTTTATATGCCACCCTTCTCCGGAGACTCAGGGCGGTTTACAATGTGCTGAGCAATAGCCTTCATACTTTTGTATATTTTATACAAAGTCAGCTTATTGTCCCCACAAACTGGGTCCTCATTTTACCTACCTTAGAAAGGATGGAAGGCTGAGTTAACCTTAAGCCTGGCGAGATTCGAACTTACAGTAATTGCAGACAGCTGGTGTTAAATTACAGTGCTTCTGTCTGTTGATCCAGGCTCTTGACCACTGACTCACGTTTATGACGGTTGCAATGTCCCAGGGTCACGTGATCCCTTTTTGCAAAGTCAGTGGGGAAACCAGTTTCACTTAGCAACTGTGTTACTAATTGAACAATTGCAGTGATTGACTTAGCAAACGTGGCAAGTAAAGTGGGACAAAGCTCACTCAACAAATTTCTCACTTAGCAACATCAATTCTGGGCTCAGTTGTGGTCGTACGTTGAGGATTACCTGTACTTCTTTTAACTGCTGTCTAGTATAATATTTATATATAGCAGAGGTCTTCAAACTTGGCAGCTTTAAGACTTGTGGACTTCAACTCCCAGAATTAAAGCTGCCAAGTTTGAAGACCTCTGATATATAGCTTTCATTTTTATGCCTACTTGCACACTGCCCAGAGTTGTTCTGTGAGGGAGACTGGCAGTTTCTAAATGTGATATAGAAACAGATAAGGAAATAAAAATATAGAAACAAATAAAAATACAAAAATAAAGCTAGGCAGAGCCCCTTTAATCAGAATGGAAACTGACCTTTAGCGAGGAATAGTGAAAGAGGATAGAAAGAGTTATATGACAAGGAAAAGGTTCCGTCATTCAGTTTTCGTCTCCTGCACAATACGATACTAATAAAATTAAACTTGATTTCTTTGATCAGAGAGAAGGCATTTTCTACATTTACTGGTGACTGGGAGCCTCTTATGGACATTTTGCGTAAAAGTGGAAAAAAAATGAACTTGTGATTTATGGTTTTGAAGATGAGACAAGGTAGATTTTGGAAAGAAGAGAGTCACGATGTAACCTTAGAGAGAGAGGTTAAAATATATTTCTTCTTATAACTGCTATGAAAAATATTGGAAGCCACGTTTTAATGTGTTTTTTTTTGTCCCCATTTTTCCCTTTTCTTCTTTCCCTATCCATCTCTGTTTTTTCTTGTTTTCTTGCATGTTTTGCCTTTTCTTTCTTTCTTCTTCCTTATGTTATATTAGTTTGTATTAGTTCTTATCTTGTTTAAAAGTTTCAATAAAAAAGTATCTATCTGTCTGTCCATCTATTTATCTATCTACCTAAACAATACAGTACTAATAAAATTAACTAATGCCCCTTGCTTGTTTCCAACATCATATAGCCAGATTTTTCTGCTAACTCTTGGAACAGCAGGAAATGCTAATCTATATTACTGGCAGTTTCAATAACGACGATTAATATTTCCCGCTGTTCCAAGAGTCAGAATTAGGGGTGGGAGCTAATTAAGATTAGCCAATGTGACATCCATGGGTGCTTAACCTAGAGAAACTCATTCATGATTCTAAAGTTGTATGGCAATTATCGCTAACAAAGCAATCTTCACAGATCATGGAGCAGAGTAATCCTTACCTTCAACCCCTGTAAACCCGGAGGTCCCTTGAGTCCAGGTGGGCAGTTGGTTGGACACTGCAGGTCATGAAGGAAAAGGGGGGAAAAGAAGAATCTCTTTAATCCAAGTAGCAATTTGGATAGCAATAACTGCAAGAGTCAGTTGGTTGAGCTGGATGGCTATAGAAATAGGAAGGGAGGGAAGGAAGGATAAGAAAAAATAGAAGGGATTGGGGCAGGGGTGAAACCCAGCAGGTTCTGACAGATTCTGGAGAACCGGTAGCGGAAAATTTGAGCAGTTCAAAAAAACGGTAGTGAAAATTTTGAGTAGTTCAGAGAATCAGCAAATACCACCTCTGACTAGTCCCCGAGTGGGGTGGGAATGGGGATTTTTCAGTATCTTTCCCCTGGAATGGGGTGGGAATGGAGATTTTGCAGTATCCTTCCCCTGCCACACCCACCAAGCCACGCCCACAGAACAGGTAGTGAAAAAAATGGATTTCACCACTGGTTTGGGGGAAAGAAGGTGAAAGGAGGGAGGAAGAAAAGTGTCTGGGTGAATGGAGGAAGGAATAGTGGAAGAAGGAAGGGAGGAGAGGGAGGGAGGGAGGGAGGGAAAGAAAGAAAAAGAAAGAAAGAGAAGGAGGGAGAGGGAAAAGAAGGGGAGGGGAGGGGAGGGAAGAAGCCGGTAATAAAATCTAGCCAGTCCTCCAAAACACCAATGGCTTGGTTGCCTAAGATGTTCAACTAAGATGAAAATGTTGGAACCTTATATAGATATCATTCTGGGTGATTGGGGAATTCACTGGCTTTATGTTACTGAAAAGGAAAGAATCTTGGACCAGAAGAACCTAAAGGACACTGAATTAGACTGCAAGTTTAATTGACCTAGTAACCTATTTTGTAGAGCTAAGGAAGGCAACAGGAAATATATAAGATCCGTTACTGAAGCAAGGAGGGGTGAAGCATATTTAAGTCCACAATAAACAGGAAACATAACATACCAAAGAGGCTTAGAAAGGCACTTCTCTAATTCACAGAAATATAACAAGGGGGAGGAGATATGGCACAATCAAACAAGCAAGACTGATCTCGCCCTCACCAGGTAGACCAATCCTGGAAATCAACTCCACGTAAGGGTTGAAACTATTTTTATTGAGAAAGACTAAAATAACACAGACTTGCAAGTCTGATTGTGCTCTCTTTTTTCCTCCCCCACCTTAATTTTCCTTCTATTAAAGTGTGAATGTGAACTCAAACCGATGAAAGCTACATAAGTATATTATGCAATTTATGTTCCAAATATTATAGCCTGTGACTGGTTCAGGATATTAAAGGTAAAGGTAAAGGTTCCCCTTGCACATATGTGCTAATTGTTCCCAACTCTAGGGGGCGATGCTCATCTCCATTTCAAAGCTGAACAGCCAGCGCTGCCCGAAGATGTCTCCGTGGTCATGTGGCCAGCATGACTCAATGCCAAAGGTGCACAGAACGCTGTTACCTTCCCACCAAAAGTGATCCCTATTTTTCTACTTGTATTTTTTTTACATGCTTTCGGACTCCTAGGCTGGCAGAAGCTGGGACAAGGAAAAGGAGCTCACCCCCGTTGGCACTAGGGATTCGAACCGCTGAACTGCCGACTTTTCAATCGACAAGCTTAGCATCTTAGCCACTGAGCCACCACATCCCTCTTCAGGATATTTGCTAGCCTCAAATAAAGGTCAGCGAAGTTTGTTGAACATCTAGTATGGTAATGCTTTGAAAAATGAAAGTCTTAATAACAATCATGAAGTGCAAGAAAAACCAACCATGGGAAGAGAAGAAAGGGTTTCTTTGCATCCTACTTTTTTCCAACTAGCCTAAGACATTGTTTGAAATGTCTTTGTTTTGAAATGGGAATTAAACGCAGTCCTTCTTACCACAAAATCAGCACTGCCTTCGGCTCCTTGGATACGACCAATTGGGCCCTTGGAAAACATGAAAAAGCATAAAAATGTAAAACATTCTCTCACTTGTAAAAAAAAGGGGGGGAGTTACTTTTCATTTTCCCACACCTGAGACACAGTCGTTTAATGGTGAAAGCTTCCCCTGAAGTAACTGAAGGATATGCACATTTATGTTGATAAACCATTTTCAGACCAAACAGAAATAAGAATGAGCATGCCTGCTTAAAACTGAATTCAGTTCTCGTATATATCACAGGTGCTGATATTTGAGTTGTTCACTAGATATTACTCTCAAATCTATAAATGACTCACCCTCATACTACTGTGTAAAGCACCAAAATCAGTAGCAACAGAGCTGTGATGGAATGTAGTCTGGATTCCCAGGAGGGAGGGGCTGCATTCCAGAGGAGCAAGAGACAACTCAGTTCAGATAGCTTGTGTGAAAGAGGGTGAAGATGGCTTCTCCCTGATAGCTCCCAGGGTATATGCTTTTAGGAGGTGCTAGCATGCTTTAGTTTATCAAGATTCTGTCTATGGGTGAGGAACAATAAAGTAATCTGCTTGGAAGGACCTCACTGTGCCTTTCTTGGTTTTTGGAGCTTGACAAGAACTTACTGGTTTTCCAGGAGGTCCTGGAGGCCCTTGTGGTCCATCTGGTCCACGTTCCCCCTAAAAAACACAAGAAGAATCACAAAACCATTCCAGCAGCAAAGTCCAAAAGACAGTCTACCATCCACGACTTCTCCAGCAAGACTTCCATTGTGAGCATCCACAGTCTTTAAGAATGGGCATCAGGAGTGATATCCACAATTCTTAAAATCATCATTTTTCAACCTTGGCAAGGATGAAGGTTGAGCGTTGAAGTCCACCATCTTAAGGTTGCCAAGGTTGAGACATACTGCTTAGTATGGCTCTCCTATTGCCACCTGAGTTAGGTAAGCCATACAGTGAAGCAGATAGTCAAGGAAGCAGAGAATGAAGAGATAAAAAAGACAAGGAAGGAAAAATGGAATTATTAGGCAATTTGGAGTGGGAAAAGAATGATTTCTGGGGCCAGTCTTCAATTCTGCTTTATTTTTGCCTCCTTCTGCCCAAAATGGAGCAATGTTTTGCCAAATGGTTGGTTTATTTTAAAATACAACAGAATAACTTGTGCAATATTTATTTTTAGGATACTAAAACTGAGGATGTAAATTATGTAGGATGCAGATCCAACGCATTCTGAACACAAGATTTGCATTATCTAATTTAATTTGACTCATTTAGCATGCATAGTCCTGATCCTAGGAAAAGAAAGGGAGAAATTGGGCAGCTTTCATTTTTTAATTTCTAATTTGGATCTCTTGCCAAATCTTTCATTCCCTTTCTCCTTATTTGTTGAGTTAGTCTCAAAGATGCAAGTATCCTCAGCCATATGGTGGCGGTAACTATATATAAAATCTAATGGTGGCAGTAACTATACAGTATATAAAATCTGGTTATATATAGGTTCAATATACATGTTGCCTCCAGATTACATTTTTGTATCAGCTTATTTTTTATTTACAGTATTTCCTGGACAATTTCTACAAATATCGTGATACATGTGTCATGATGCATATATCTTGTCTACAGATAAAAAGCAAGTAAACCTACTTCCAGACCTGGAACGAAGTACATTGGCCATCATTATTGTTACCTCTGTTCAACATAATCAGGCATGGGCAATAATCCACCATGGAATAAGACATTGAGGCTGATAATGTCCACCTTAAGACCAACTTTAAATTTCATGGCTAAAAAGACTTGGGAAATTGGAAGGAGAGGTCTTCTTTGTTTGTTCTCTCATTCTGGCAAACTTTGCTTTTCTGCCTGGAACATGCTGTCCAATGAAGAGCTCCAGGGAAGTTCTGAATGGCCACCATCCATCCATTCAATATCATAACCACTCATCCCTCAATTCCTCCATCTATACATCACTCCATCCATCCAATATCCAGTATCCGTCCATCCTTCCATCAATATTGTATCCATCTTCCCTCTCTCTCTCTCTCCATACATCCAATATCATATCCACTCATCCCTCAATTCCTCCATCTATACCCGTGATGGTGAACCTATGGCATGCCTGCCACAGGTGGCAGGCCGAGCCATATCTGTGGGCACGCGAGCCTTGCCCTAGCTCAGCTCCAGCGCGCATACATGCACCGGCCAACTGATTTTCAGGCCTTCCGGGCCTACCAGAAGTTGGGAAATGGGCCGTTTCCAGACTCCAGAGGGCCTCCGGGGGTGGGGAAGGCTGTTTTCGCCCTCCCCAGGCTCCAAGAAAGCCTCTGGAGGCTGAGGAGAGCAAAAAACGGGCCTACCAGGCCCACCAGTAACCTTTTTGCTGTCGTGTGCCAAAAGTGGGGGGAGCGCGGGGGGATTGTGCACACATGCGTGGGAGGGTGGGGCATGGGGGGCATTTAAGTATGGGTGTGGGCACATGCGTGCATGACTCCCCCGCACTCCCCCCGCTTTTGGCACACGACAGCAAAAAGGTTAGCCATCACTGATCTATACATCACTCCATCCATCCAATATCCAGTATTCGTCCATCCATCCATCAATATTGTATCCATCCATCCATCCATTCCTCCAATATTGCATCTATCCATCCATTCACCCTATATTCATCTTTCTTTTTTCCTATAAGGACCCTCGTCATATCACCGTTCTGCAATGTGTACCCAGGAACTGATTCCAGAACACTTTTAGACAAGTCAGTAACCTCAAGAAATAGGTATACATCTCAACTGAACCCTTACCTTAAGTCCCAAAGGTCCCATTTCTCCAGGAAGTCCAACTTGACCTGGGGGGCCCTGAGACATGAAAAGAGAAAGGGAGGGTTTTTTATTTTCACCATATGCATTCTAGATGAAAGAATAAGAGAATGAAGGACACTAAGGAGGATTTATTTCACCATGCAGACTGAGCTAGACTTCCTCCTTTGCAGAAAAGATTTGCTTGGTTAAAAAACCAAGCTTTGGAAGCTCTTCAAAACTAAGACTAGATGTCTCTTCTTCTGGCTGATAGGAAGACTGAAAACCGCCTTATATCATATCAGAGCTTCATATCACTTAGCCTAATAATTCTTGAGAGTTTCAGTATGATATCTTTCTTGGTCCTACCTGGAGAGGCAGGAGCAGATGCTGTAAATTTCTACATGCTAGCCAGATTCTGTGTTGCTCAGCAATGATCCTTCAAAACCAACCTTGCCTTATGATAATGCATATCTATAACAGGGACACGAAATCGTTTGGGCCAGGAGCACGTCAAAGTATGTAGCAAATATATCCCCACAATGGCTGCCCTGGGAGAAATATGGCAAAAGCCATGTTGTGGTTTCATTATGCAAATCTTGATCCTGCCCTAACATCATTGCAGGGTGTAGACTGGACAATCACTTGACTGGGATGGTGTAAGGCTCCTGCTTTCAGCAGAAGGTTGGACTAGAATACCCCTGAGGTCTCTTCCAGCTCTATGATTCTAAGGACAGGGAGAATCAGTGTCATGGTATAAGCTTTGCCACTTGCCCCCTTGCTGACATCCATCCATGGGAGACATGGGTGAAATCTACTTACCTTCCCAACCAGTTCGGAAGTGCACACACCGCCTGTGCGTGTCACGTGCGTGCGTGGACCCTCTGCGCATGCACAAACCCTTCGGTGCATGCGCAGAGGGTAAAAAACAGGTTACTTCCTGGTTAAAACCAGGAAGTAATGACAACTGGGTGGGTGGGTGGAGCCTCATGCCACCATTGCTACCGGTTCGGCCGAACTGGGCCAAACCGGGAGCATTTCACCTCTGATGGGAGACTTGCTTATTTACAGCCTGTCATAAAACAGCAATTTACCATCCCAAAAATATATTCTACAGATAGTCCTTGACTTGATGCCAAAAGGTGCTTGTCAGCTTTGGAAGCCATATTAGGCCGGAAACTCCAATGCTGCCACCTTCTCATATGTGGGAAAGTAGGAGGGGGGATTAAGGAGAGGGATGTTAGTAGACATAATAGCATTCTTCCTGTCGGTCAAGATCAGGGCGATCCAGCATCTGGAGAAGGAGTGGTCCAGGAGCTGGATCGGGATGGAATGGATGTTGATTGAAGCCCTGGTAGCGCAGCAGACTAAAGCACTGTTATTAACATCAGCTGCCTGCAATTACTGCAAGTTCAAATCTCACCAGGCTCAAGGTTAACTCAGCCTTCCATCCTTTCAAAGGTAAGTGAAATGAGGACCCAGATTGTGGGGGCAGTAAACTGACTTTGTATAAAATATATACAAAAGTATGAAGGCTATTGCTTAATGCATTGTAAGCCGTCCTGAGTTTCCAGAGAAGAGCGGCATATAAATCAAATTTAAAAAAAAATGTGACTGACTGGGTGGAAAAAGGGATGATTTTGGGAGCTTTGACTTACTAAAGGAAAACCCGGGCTTTTCAGATTTGGGTTTTCCCAGATGTGCCAGTTTGCCTATTCTAGTAAAGAGCCTTGGTAGTACAGTGGTCTAAGGCATCCTGTTATTAAGCTGGTTATTAAGACCAGCTGCCTGCAATTACCGCAGGTTCGAATCTCGCCAAGGCTCAAGGTTGACTCAGCCTTCCATCCTTTCTAAGGTAGGTAAATTGAGGACCCAGTTTATGGGGGCAATAAGCTGACTTTATATAAATATACAAAAGAATGAAGGCTATTGCTGAGCACATTGTAAGACGCCCTGAGTCTCCGGAGAAGGGCGACATATAAATCAAATTTTAAAAAAAAGAGAGAGAGAGAGAACTTTGGAAAATGTTTGCTTCCGCGTCTTTAATTGGAGTTGGGGTTTTTCTGGAATGCTGACAGTGCTTACGGACTGGTTCTCAATTTCTGATGGCTGCTCCCCCCTCCCACATGATTGCATTTTTGGGTGCTTAGCAACCAGCCCGTATTTAGAATAGAATAGAATAGAATTCTTTATTGGCCAAGTGTGATTAGACACACAAGGAATTTGTCTCTGGTGCATAAGCTCTCAGTGTACATACAAGCAATAAGTGATGGACCATTATCACAGTCATTGTAAAAATACATCCATCATAAAACATTAGATACAACACTTAGTGATAAGTCATGGATACTAAATAAGCGATCAACATAAATCATACTAGGATACTAAGTAAACAATATAAATCGTAAGATACAAGCAACAAAGTTATAGCCATAAAAAGATTAAGGAGATAGGGAATATGAGAACAGTTGTTGTGGCCCCGCCCTCTGAGCCTGTCCCATCGGAGGAAGAAAGCTCCGAGCATGAGGAAGAGAAGTCAGCCAGGCCTCCCTCTCCAGGCCCCTCCCCTCTGGCACTGCCTCAGGTGCCGGCCGAGGGAGAGGAGATTAGCAGGGAGACAGGTGGCTCGGATGAGAGTGAGGGAGAGACGTCATTCCTGCACGCACGCCTCCAAAGGCGTGATAAACGATTGCAGCAGCTCAGGAGGCGTGCTAGGGATTAGAACTGAGTCACTGGACCACACCCCAGAGACTATATAATAGAGGATGGTGGCCAGCAATCCCTGTGACGAACAAAAGTAAACCTTGGATAGTCACTAAAGCCTCGTCCGGAAACTGCTGAGAGAAATATTATTCTGATTGGACTTTTGTACGCTAAGTATTTTATCTTTCTGTTTTGTGGAAATAAATGCACTTGGCAGACGGTGTGTAAATCGCTGCCAAGTTGGAGATAAAGACCTGGGTGTGTGCCAAAGTGTTTCCTTAACCCTCGGCTGGCTGTGTTTGTGTGTGTGTGTGGACGGGGACAGATCAACAGTGATGGTAATACTGCCTCTCTAGATAGTGTTGTGGGAATTAGTTGTTTAGCAGAGTGATGGCTTGGGGGACAAAACTGTCCTTGGGTCTAGTTCAGGGGTCAGCAACCTGCGGCTCTGGAGCCGCATGTGGCTCTTTCATCCCTCTGCTGCGGCTCCCTATCACTCAAAATATGCATCACAACCGCCAAAGTGTGACACCCTCCGGTATACGATTTATTGAGCTTTTCAACCCCCGGTAGGCCAACCATGGATAAATCCAAGAAAAGAAAAGTTTCAGAAGAAAACAGAAGGCTTAATTCAACTACGTAGGCTAGTTTTGTGGCCGCTCAAGAAATAGTCAGGCACGGGACGGGTTTTGTGTCTCCCGATGTTTTCTTTTCTCTGGGTCCAAATGGCTCTTTGAGTGTTTAAGGTTGCAGACCACTGGTCTAGTTGTTCTGATGTGCGGTGCCCTATAGAATCATTTTGAGGGTAGAAATTGAAATTTATGGCCATTTGTAGCATCCAGCAGTCACAGGACTGCAGTTTACAATGTTTTTGCTAAATAATTGCGGCGTTCAATTAACGATTGCAGATTCACTGAACAACCAAATGACTGCTGCAAAAAAAAAAAAAAAGATCATGAAGTTGAATCGGTCACACTTCGCAACCGTGATCGTAATGGGCAGGCCCCATTGCAGTCGTAAGTTAAGGAATACTTGCAGTGCTGCCGAAAGGCACGGTTGGAAAGAAAAAACTTTGTGAGACTGCGGGTGTGTTTTGCTGACCTCCTATTAACTTCTTTTAAAAATTGGAAAGTATCTTTTTTAAAAAAATCACTGTGTGCTCCTTTTGTACAGGGAAGAGCGGGGCAATCACCTGGTTTGCTACTTCAGCTTCTGATCATCAGCCAAGAGCACCAGATTCTGCCTGGGTCAGCAAAGTTCTGGGCAGTTAGCAGCATATACCAAATCCTCTGATGCTGAATCAGATTGTCGACGTGACTAATAAGCTGCCTAAAATCTCAGGCAGAAAAGAAAGCACTTTTCCTCCCATTCTTTGTTAAAAGAATTTAGAATAACAGAGTTGGAAGGGACCTTGGAGGTTTTCTAGTCCAACCCCCTGCTTAGGCAGGAAACCCTACACCACTTCAGACAAATGGTTATCCAATCTCTTCTTAAAAACTTCCAGTGTTGGAGCATTCACAACTTCTGCAGGCAAGTTGTTCCACTGATTAATTGTTCTAAGTATCAGGAAATTTCTCCTTAGTTCTAAGTTGTTCCTCTCCTTGATTAGTTTCCACCCATTGCTTCTTGTCCTGCCCTCAGGTGCTTTGGAGAATAGTTTGACTCCTCCAGAAGGCACGCAGATTTGCAAATCTCCCTTGCTTTGATTTCAAAACATCATATTCCAATTGTAAAAAAGAGAAAGATTGCACACGTGCAGGACGCCAAATTGATTCCATGCATGAAATCAGTTTGACTACAGGTAGTCCTTGACTTACAGCATTTCGCTTAGTGACCGTTCGAATTTACAATGGCACTGAAAAAAGAATGAGTTATGACCGTTTTTCAGAGTTAGGATCATTGCAGCATCCCCCACGGTCAGACAATCAAAATTTAGATGCTTGGCAAATGACTCATATTTATGACAGTTGCAGTGCACCGGGGTCAGGGGTGGGCTTCAAAAATTTTAGCAAGGGGTTCTCTGCCCAGTTGCTGGGTGAGAGTGGCCATGGTGGGTGTGGCTATTCGGCCTCCTGCAACACGGCAGGGAGGGTGTTTTTGCCCTCCCCAGGCTGCAGTCTTTTCTTGAGCCTCTGGGAGGGTGAAAACAGCCTCCCCACGCTCCGGAGGCCCTCTGAGGCCAGAAACAGGCCCGTTTCCAGCCTTCCTAAACTTCCGGTAGGCCCTTTTTTTGCCCTCCGAGCCTCCACATGCGCCCTGCACTTACCTGCATCCAAAACGGGCCGTGTGGGGACTCCTGGGAGGGGCCGGGTGGGGTGGGCGGGGCCAGCCAGGAGTGGGATTGGGGGTTTTCTGAACTGCACAGAATCTTAGCTAGAGGTTCTCTCGAACCCCTGCGAACCCCCAGCAGCCCACCTCTGGCCGGGGTCATGTGATCATCTTTTGTGACCTTCTGATGAGCAAAGTCAGTGGGGGAAGCCAGATTCATTTAACAACCGTGCTACCAACTTAACAATTGCCACACATGTGGCAAGAAAGGTCATAAAATGGGGAGGGGGGAACTCACTTAGCAAATGTCACATTTAGCAAGAGAAATTTTGGGCTCAGTTGAGGACTATCTGTACTTGCTGCACTGATTGGATTACATCTCCTTCTTATTCAATTTCTGGCTCTGAATACTGATAGTCCTTGACTTATGGCTACAAATGGGCTCAGAATTTCCACTGTCAACCAAGCAGTGATGAAATGTAAAATTTGTTACTACCGGTTCTGTGGGTGTGGCTTGGTGGTGGTGGGTAATGTGACTGGGTGGGCGTGGCCAACATTTTTTTTGTTTAACTTTTAAAAGTATTTTTTCTACAACCACTCCGGCCGAAAAAATGCTTTTAGAAGCCTCTGACGATCAGGCAACTCAGCCAGGATCGCCAGAGGCTTTTTAAAGCATTTTTTTTCCTACAACCTCTTCGGCCAAAGTGGTTGCAGAAAAAAATGCTTTTAAAAGCCTCTGATGATCCCGGCTGAGCCCCGCAGTCATCAGAGGCTTTTCTTTTTTACTTTTAAAAGCATTTTTTCGGCCGGAGTGGTTGTAGAAAAAATACTTTTAAAAGTAAAAAAAAACAGCCTCTGATGATCGCGCAGCTTAGCTGGGCATGGTGGGGGGGGGGGTGCAGGGATTTTTGCTACTGGTCCTCTGAACCACCCACTGACATCGCTACCGGATCAGGTGATCCGGTCCGAACTGGGAGCATTTCACCCCTGCAACCAAGGCAGTTTTAAGTGAGTTGTGCCTGATTTTACCACCTTTTTTGCCACTATTGTTAAGCGCATCACTGCAGTTGTTAAGTGAATTGTGCGGTCGTTAAGCAAGTCCAGCTTCCCGCACTAGCTTTGCTTGTCAGAAGCTGGCTGGGAAGATCACAAATGGTGATCAAGTGACTCTGGGATACGGCAACTGTCATAAATGCATTCTAGTTGCCAACTGCCTGGTTCATTTAATCAAATGACCATAACAGTCAAGGACTGATAATAAACCACATTTTCCAGCATTCGTTGTAATTTCAAATGGTCATCAAATGAATGGACTCCAGATACAGCAGGAGTATCCGATTATTTTGCATTTAAGTGAGAACCAAGCAAATTTCTTCTTTATTGTCATCAAGCACACTACCTACCACCAGTGTAACCCAACATCTCAAATGATCTAACCAGCAGAGCTCATTGTAACAGCATTGCCAAAAAGGCATTAAGAGTTGTTAACCTAATCTTGCGAAGCTTCTTCTCCGGTAATATTGTACTACAAACTAGGGCATACAAAACCTTTGCTAGACCAATTCTCGAATACAGCTTGTCTGCCTGGATCCGCACTGTAGATCGGACATTAATACAATTGAGCGAATCCAGAGGTCTTTCACGAGAAGAGTCCTCCACTCCTCTGCTCACAATAGAATACCTTCTGCCACCAGGCTTGAAATTTTGGGCTTGGACAACTTAGAACTAAACCGTCTTCGGTCTAACCTAAGCGTAGCTCATAAAATTATCTGCTACAATGTCCTACCTGTCAATGACTACTTCAGCTTCAACTGCAATAACACAAGCACACAATAGATACAAACTTAAGGTGAACCGCTCCAAACTTGATTGCAGAAAATACAACTTCAGCAACAGAGTGGTCAATGCCTAGAATGCATTACCTGACTCTGTGGTTTCTTCCCCAAACCCCAAAAACTTTAATCTTAGACTGTCTACTGTTGACCTCACCCCATTCCTAAGAGGTCTGTAAGGGGCGTACATAAGAGCACCAGCGTGCCTTCCGTCCCTATCCTACTGTCCCCATTTATTCATATCCATTTCCTGTGTTCATATTCATGTTTATACTTATACCTGTTATCTCGTACATGTTTGACAAACTAAATAAATAAAAATATAAAAACAAGTCACAAGTCATACTTACAGGAGGTCCTGGAAATCCAGGTCCCTGAAACAGACAGATACAATAGGTTGTTATTTTTCAATGCAGGTCAACGGCTGAAAAATTAAGCACTGTAGCACTGGCACCAACATTTCCAAGAGTTAGAGAACATCTTGATTTTCTCCAGTCAGAATTCACTGCATTGGGGGATTATAATTTTTTCAACCATGGTGCACATTTAGAATTTGAGAACATATTAGAGAAATCCTCTCAAAACTATCATCCAGCAGGACATGGCCAATCATGGAAAAAAAACCTATGGCAGGGAAGAATTTAATTTCTGGCTGCAACCACCCATGATTTATTTTTAAGACCACCTGTGGGATCTGAGTTGGGCCCAGTGGCTCTGCATTAAATACGGATCATATAGTAGATATTTAGGCTTATCACAATCAGGCTTGTCAGATGTTACATCTTTTCTATCCTGCTCTACAGAGTAGAGAGTTGGTATCTGACAGAAAACCACTTGAAGAAACTAGAAGCATTTGAAATGTGGATTTACAGGCGGCTGTTACGTATAAGATGGGTTAACAAAATCACAAATGAGGAGGTGACAAGCCGCCTGGGAAAGCAAAGAGAAATAATCAAAGCCATTAAAAAGAGAAAGTTAGAATATTTTGGACATGGGATGCGACACCCAGAAAAATACGGCATCCTTCACTTAATCCTCCAGGGAAAGATTGAAGGCAAATGAGGTCCAGGCAGAAGAAGAACATCATGGCTTCAAAACCTAAGGGACTGGTTTGGACAAAACTCAGCAGCACTTTTTCATGCGGCTGTTGACAAAAATAGGATTGACAACATGATCGCCAAAGTCCGATGATGGATATGGCACAAGAAGAAGAAGAAGAAATTTAGGGTTCCATTCTGGTTCCTCCATTGGAACGTTCTGAGGCCCAAAGGTGTTTGAAAAAAAAATCTGGGCCCATTTCTAGTGCTCCATTCTGAGATTCCACCGCCAAATCAATCCGAAAATTCTGATTGTCTCCGGGTTCAGAGAAATTTGCATTCTCGCGTGATGCATTGTTAACAATCTAAGATCATAAACAAAGGCTTGGTTTTGGCTTATGCTAGAGAAGCCCTGGCTAGATCAAAACTCAAGCCACATTTGGAAAACCATGATTTCCCCCCAGTTGCATTTAAGTTATATGTCATTACTCTGTACAACGGAGGTATTTTCTCACCCAGCATGTGCAAAGAAAAGCAGACACTTACTGGAAGCCCCGGTGGTCCAGGAAGTCCAGACTGGCCCTGTAAGAGAAGTGAGAATGTTAGAATAGAATAGAATAGAATAGAATAGAATAGAATAGAATAGAATAGAATAGAATAGAATAACAGAGTTGGAAAGGAACTTGGAGGTCTCCTAGTCCATCCCTCTGCCCAGGCAGGAAACCCTACACCACTTCAGACAAATGGTTATCCAACATCTTCTTAAAAATTTCCAGTGTTGGAGCATTCACAACTTCTGGAGTCAAATTGTTCCACTGATTAATTGTTCTAACTATCAGGAAATTTCTCCTTAGTTCTAAGATGCTTCTCTCCTTGATTAGTTTCCAGCCATTGCTTCTTGTCCTGCCCTCAGGTGCTTTGGAGAATAGCCTGACTCCCTCTTCTTTGTGGCAGCAGCTGAGATATTGAAACACTGCTATCATGTCTCCCCTAGTCCTTCTCTTCATTAAACTAGACATACCCAGTTCCTGCAACCGTTCTTCGTATGTTTTGGCCTCCAGTCCAATAATCCTCTTTGTTGCTCTTTTCTACACTCTTTCTAGAGTCTCAACATCTTTTTTACATGGTGGCAACCAAAACTGGATGCAGTATTCCAAGTGTGGCCTTTCCAAGGCATTATAAAGTGGTATTAACATTTCACATGATTCTCTGTTGATGCAGCCCAGAACTGTGTTGGCTTTTTTGGCAGCTGCTGCACACAGCTGGCTCATATCTAAATGGTTTTCCACTAGGACTCCGAGATCCCTCTCACAGTTACTACTATTGAGCAAGGTACCACATATACGGTACCTGTGCCTTTTGTTTTTCTTCCCTATGTTGATGCAGCAGGACTGCTGCAAAACAAGACTTTGATTCAACTTCCAATTTCAGAGGTTTCCCCAAAGACTTATTTGTCTATGGAGATTCTTGGGTCATCCAGGTCATGGTTGATTCTTTTTTTTTCAAGAGGCAACTGGATTTTCTTGTTTTTCTTTTCTTTTCTTTGAAGACGTGCAAATGGGTATGGAGCTTTCTTGGACCTGCTGAAAGGACTGTGTTGTAGATGAGATAGACCAAAAAACAACCATTTCATAAATGCATGGCACAACACAGGAGAACAAACCCATCAGGACAAGATTCAGCAATCCCTCTAAATTTAAAAGACAGAAGCCACCCTTTTGAAGACAGCAAAGTCCACATTTTGGACAGAGAGGATCGCTGCTTTGAAAGAGGGATCAAACAGGCCATCTATGTCAAAATTAAACAGCTCTCTCTCAGGGATATGACTTCATCTATCTCCAGTCTACAACACTGTTCTGACCTAGGCTTCCTGAGACAGTAAAAAGCACACAATGAGTCCCAAAAACCCTCTTTTTATTTCAACGGCTGTGAATTATGTTCATTCACAGCCTGTTCATTCTCAATCTGTTCATTCACAGACGAGTCCCAAATAGTTGTAAAGAGTCCGACAGTAGTTTGCCACAGTCCTTTGGGATAAGGCTGATAAGCACCCACCTTTATCTCCCTTGACACACTGCCAAAGACCTAATTGGCAATTAGCTTTGCAAGGCCACACGGAACACAGAGTCAAAACGGAGCTGCAGAATTTAAGTTGGCCAGACAGAACAACATTTATTTCTGCAAAGGCTCATGTGCCTTTGCTCCTCCTTTATGTCTTATGGGAGGGGCCAATCATCTCCAAGCCCTACTCCCGAGTCGTCCCTTTTCTTTTAACTGTTCTTGCCTTCTGGCAGCTCTGCGCATGCGCGCATTAGGAACAGACTCCTCCTGTTCCTCTGCCTCGCTGATGTCCGACTCTGGAGGCTCCGGAGTCCATGCATAACTCCCAGATGGCTCTGGCCCCATCTCTTCCTCCGACGCAGAGACCTCATCCCAGCCTTCCCCAGTCTCCAGGACTGGCCTATTTTCCTCCCCAGCCTCCTCACTGTCCGACTCTGCTGCCAGCTCTGCAGGCCACCGGCAGACCACAACAAGTCCTTTCAGCAGTTCCAAGAAGGCTCCACACCCATTTGCACCACTCAGGTGACCCTGAGGACACAGATAAACCTCCAAGTGGCCTCAACAACTCGCTAAAAGAATTCAAATGACCAGCTGTCTGCAAGGAGTATAAATCCTTCCATTCCCCACCATCCAGTCAGAGCTGAAGAAGAATGGAATGAGAAGCGAAATGTCTTTTAAGAAAAACAAGGACGTCCTGTTGCCTTTTGGGACAAAGACTTATTTCTTGAACAGATGCAGGCTTCAGCTTCAAGGTCCCAAACCTGATCTGCCACCACCTGAGAAGCCTGGATTTTATTTATTATTATTTTTTTTGCATCTGCCATTATCAGCAAGGAGAAGAAGATACAACCTGTCCCAGGTAGTAGTGATGACCTAACTCTTCTTCCATGCCTAACAGACACAGGGACCTTTCCCATTCATCCTTCAGCAGTAGTAATAACAGTCATGGTATTAGAAAGCAGGATCAAAAACTGAAGTCAATCATGGATCCTGGGATATGTTTCCCTAAACTATGCCCCCCTCCCCCCATGTGAGATCACAGCTGGTTGGGGGGTATCTGAAGTTGCAGTCCCAACACATGGGAAATAACAAGCTGAGGAAGGATGCTTTGGTGACTTCAACCCATTCCATACATTGAAATCTCTCCCCCAGGCAGAAAAAAACAGTTACTCACTTTGGGACCTAGTCTTCCAACACGGCCTGGCTCTCCTTTAGCTCCCGTGAGGCCCTGCAAAAAAAAAAAAAAGAAGAAGAAGTAAGAGAAAGGATAAGAAGGGATCAATTTGAGGGTATCAGCTAGCATAGAGAAGCAGAAGCTTGGCTGAAGCCCTGAAGATAAGCCAGGAATGATCAAGGAATCGGCTAGGGTCAAATTAAGGTTTGATGGGGAATGAAACACAATCCAAAGGAAACAAGTGTTTGCATATATTTTAAATTTTATGGATTTGGGGTTTTAAATTTGGGTAGCCAATGATTTAATTCTTTTAATTATCTTAACTTTTGCATTTGTATGTTTTTTAATTTTGGCTGTTCACCGCCCTGAGTCCCTTCTGGGAGAAGGGCGGTATACAAATTAAATTAATAATAATAATAATAATATATGTTTTCCCCAAAATAAGACCCTGTCTTATATTTTTTGAACCCCGAAATAAGAGCTTGGCCTTATTTTCGGGGAGGTCTTATTGTTTTGGGGTGCATGGAGTAAGATGGGGCTCCTCGTGCTGTCTTACCTGATTTCCAGCTCTGTGTTTTAATATTTGAGGGGGGTTATTTTTTGGGGGAGGGCTTATTTTAACACGTGCTCAAAAGCCCGATTGGGCTTATTATCAGGGGATGTCTTACTTTCGGGAAAACAGGGTATATGAAGCAAAATAATATTCTAAATAAGAACCCAAAGCCCTGTAGATATGCTGAAGTGCAGTTCAGATTTTGGGCTGAGCAACTACTCACATCTATTCCGGGTTTTCCTGGGGCTCCATCTGGTCCTGGCAGGCCTGGAGCTCCTTTGGCCCCCTATTGCAAAGGAAGGATGGGGACATTAAAAAAAGAGTCTTCAAAAAATTCAAGGAGAAGCAGGTGCCTCATACCTAGGCCTTCTGGAAAGATTTAAGCTATTGTTTTTCAATTTAACGCCCTCCAGATCAGGGGTGAAATCCAGCAGGTTCTAACAGGTTCTGGAGAACTGGTAGTGGAAATTTTGAGTAGTTCGGAGAACTAGCAAATACCACCTCTGGCTGGCCCCAGAGTGGGGTGGGAATGGGGATTTTGCAATATTCTTTGAGTGAGGGTGCCTTTCCTGCCGCCTTGGAAGAGGCGGTGGTGAGGCCCCTCCTCAAGAAGCCATCCCTGGACCCGGCTATTTTAGCTAATTATCGTCCGGTCTCCAATCTTCGCTTTGTGGCAAAGGTTGTTGAGAGTGTGGTGGCACAACAACTTCCCGGTACCTGGATGAAGCTACTTATTTGGACCCGTACCAGTCGGGCTTCAAACAGGGGTACAGCACGGAAACGGCATTGGTCACGTTGGTGGATGACCTCTGGAGGGCTCAGGACAGGGGTTGCTCCTCTGTCCTGGTCCTATTAGATCTCTCAGCGGCTTTTGATACCATCGACCATGGTATCATGCTGCAGCGGTTGAGGGGGTTGGGAATAGGAGGCACCGTGCTACGGTGGTTCTCCTCCTTCCTCTGCAACTGCTCTCAGTTTGTGTTGGCAGGGGGGCAGAGGTCGACCTCGAGACACCTCGATTGGGGGGGTGCCACAAGGGTTGGTCCTCTCGACCCTTCTGTTCAACATTTATGTGAAGCCGCTGGGTGAGATCATCCGTGGTTTTGCGGTGAGAGTCCATAGTACGCTGATGAACTCAGCTGTACATCTCCACCCTAGACCACCCCAACGATGCCCTTGATGTAATGTCCCGCTGCCTGGAGGCCGTGCGGGTCTGGATGGGGAGAAATAGGCTCAGATTCAACCCTTCCAAGACCGAGTGGCTGTGGCTTCCGGCGCCCCGATATAGTCAGCTGGCACCATCGCTGACTATTGGGGGTGAATCTCTGCCCTCCACAGAGAGGGCTCGCAATCTGGGCGTCCTCCTGGATGCACGGCTGTCTTTAGAAGAACATATGACGGCCGTTGCCAGGGGGGCTTTTTATCAGGTTCGCCCGATACGCCAGTTGCGACCCTTCCTGGATCGGGACGCCTTGCGCACGGTCACTCATGCCCTTGTCACCTCCCGGCTGGACTACTGTAATGCTCTCTACATGGGGCTCCCCTTGAAGAGCACTCGGAGGCTCCAACTGGTCCAGAATGCGGCCGCGCGGGTAGTTATGGGTGCGACCCGTTATGCCCATGTAACACCTCTCCTGCGCGAGCTGCACTGGCTCCCGGTGGTCTTCCGGGTGCGATTCAAGGTGTTGGTTACCACCATAAAAGCGTTCCATGGCTAAGGGCCTGGGTACATCCGAGACCGACTTCTGCCGCCAGTAGCCTACCACCGGCCAGTTCGCTCCCACAGAGAGGGTCTCTTCAGGGTGCCATTGGCCAAGTTATGTCGGCTGGCGACACCCAGGGGGAGGGTCTTCTCTGTGGGTGCTCCTGCCCTTTGGAACGAACTGCCCCCGGAAATACGTAAGATTTCTGATCTCCGTATATTTCGCTGCGCTCTTAAAACCCTACTGTTCCGCCAGGCTGGGCTATCTTTGTGAATGATTTTAAATTGGGTGTTTTAATTAGGTTTTAATTCTGAGCCAAAATTATTTATTACTTTTAATTGGTTTTTAAATTGATGTATATATATTATGTTTTAATTGGCTGTACACCGCCCCGAGTCCTTCGGGAGAAGGGCGGTATAGAAATTAAATAAATAAATAAATAAATAAATAAATAAATAAATAACCTTCCCCAGCCACACCTACCAAGCCACGCCCACCAAGCCACACCACGCCCACCAAGCCACGCCCACAGAACCAGTAGTAAAAAAATTTGGATTTCACCACTGCTCCAGATATGTCAGGACATCCAATCCTGAATTTAGCCATGCTGGGTGAGAATGATGGAATTAGTAGTAATAATTTATCTGGAGAATGTCCATCTGGAAAGGGCAACTTAGACTGTCCAAAGCTCAAAATCCCCACAGTCCTCAAATTAAAGCACAAGCAGTTCTTGACGTATGACCACAACTGAGCCCAACATTTCCACTGCGAGGTAAGAAAGTTCAATTATGCCCCATTTAATGACCTCTTTTGCCACAGTTGTTAAGCAAATCATAACAGTTGCTAAGTGAATCATGCAGTTATTAAGCAAATCTGGTTTCCCCGTTGACTTTGCTTGTCGGAAGCCAGCTGGGAAGGTTACAAATGTTGATCACGTTACCCCAGGTCTGTTGTGGCCCGTCAGTGGCCTGTGAGGATTGTAGCTGATTCTGACAGCGAGGAGGCTGTGGTGTTGCGCCAGCAGCCTGTGCAGCTGGCACTCGAGTCAGACAATGAGGAGGCTGGAGAAGATGTGGTGCCAGAGGCGGGGATTCAGCCAGGGCCTTCACCTCCAGAAGCTCCTTTAAATGAAGAGGACGAAGAGGAGGAGCCTCTTCTTGATGCACGGGCGCGCAGAGCGGCCAAAAGGCAGGAGTGGCTCCTCAGGAGGAGGTCTCCTCAAAAGTAAGGCTTGGGGCTAATTGGCCACTCCTTTAGCCTATTTAAGGAGGAACGCCGACTGAAGCAATTTGTAGGGAACAACTTTAGTTCATTCTCCTTCGCGTCTGGATTCTCTGCAAATTGCTTCTGGGCATTCTGCCAATCTTAGTAAGATTGTGATTACTTTATCTTTGGTTTCTTGTAGGCTGTTAAGAAAGTTTATTAACAGCCTTTGTATTGAAAAAGACTGAATTATTTTAGTAAATTAAGTTTTGTACAAACTTTGTGTGTGCTGTGTTCTTTGGGGTCCGTAGCTGGGGCAGAACAAGGTCACTGCAACTGTCATAAGTACATGTCAGTTGCCCAGAGCTCAAATTTTGATCATGTGACCATGGGGATGCTGTAACAGTTATAAGCAGGAAAACTGGTTGTGTCGCTTTTTTTCAATGCCGTTGTAACTTTGAACGGTCCCTAAATGAATGGTTGCAAGCCAAGGGCTACCTCTATAGTACAGGTAATCCTTGATATAGGACGGTAATGGAGCCTGTTCGTTGGGAGTTGTAAGTTGGGACAGTCGTAAAATGGATCAGTCATGTGACTGGCCTGATTTTACAACCCTTTTTGCAGCAGCTGTTACGTGACCAGAGCGGTCATAAAAAAAAACCCAGTATAGTAATAAAGCAAACTCATGGTTTATGATGGGTGTGGTTTTGCCAAAACCCGGAAGTAAAACATGGTCACATGACTGTGGGGTGCTGGAAATGCCCTTAAACCAATTCTGGGAATTCTGGGAGTTGAAGTCCACAGGTTGTAAAAGGGCCACAGTTGCCCAACCCTGCCCTAAACTCAACTGTGTTGTCGAATCCCTGAAGTTTGGTTACGTGACCGTAGAAGTATCCTGATCATCTGAATTGGTATATCTGAATAAGTAGCTCAAGGTAGGTGCGTCATAACTTTGAATGGTTGCCAAGCAACTGGTCATGAGTCAAGGACTACTTACACAGTAGTTATCCATAAAGAGCGTCCTTCAAATATGCTATTTTTGCAACACCTAACAAAGCCTTATCGCCTGAAAATAGCTGCAGGACTCCCTCTGGTGTTCTGCCCCAGATCCTGAGCATTGTATATTTGTGTAGGCATGAGAAACCTGCAGATCCTGGCTTGCAAAGTCAGCATACTTACAGGAACACCTGCTGCACCGGGTGGACCTTTATCGCCCTATGGAGAAAAAAAAAATAGTCATTATTGATCAGTTTGATAAGTTTCAGCCTTCTTTTAGGAATCCTTTCAAGGCAAATACAAAGGGTCTGGTAAGAGCAGCAATATTGTTGTGACCTAGGCTTCCTGAGTCATTAAAACACACAAGTAGTTCCAAAAACCTATTTTATTGCAACAGCTGTGAACTACTTTCATTCACAGCTGAGTCCTAATTCGTTGCAAAAAGTCCTTCGGGAGAAGTCCTTCGGGATAATCACCAACCTTTATCTCCCTTGACATGCTGCCAAAGACCAACTTGGCAAAGCCACACGGAGTCCAGAATCAAACAGAGATGCCGACTGGGAACAGAATTAACAATGTTGCTTTCCTGCAAAGGGCCCACATGCCTTTGCTCCTCTTTTAAGCCTTATTGGAGGGGCCAATCTTCTCCAGGCCTTACTCCCAAGTCGTCCCTTTAGTTTTAACTGTTCTTTCCTTATGGCAGCTCTGTGCATGCACGCACTAGGAACAGGCTCCTCCTGTTCCTCTGCCTCTCTGATGTCTGACTCTGGAGGCTCCGGAGTCTGTGCATAACTCCCAGATGGCCCTGGCCCCATCTCTGCCTCCGACACAAAGCCCTCAGCCGAGCCTTCCCCAGACTCCAGGATTGGCCCATGTTCCTCCCCAGCCTCCTCACTCCACTACCACTTCCGCAGGCTGCTGGCAGACCACAACAAATATTTTGTTTATTTATCAAATTTATACACCTCCCATCTTACTCTCAAAGCTCAGAGATATACTAAGATTGCAAAATGTCCTTTTGAAATAAAGAGTTCAGGAGAAATTATCTGGGGGTTAGATGTTCTTGTACTGGCTTAGTGAAGATTGGAAGGGCAAAAGTCCTGTTTTTCATAGCACAATTTTGTCTCCAACTTCCCTGGCTTCTCAATCTTCCACTCAACCCCAAAGGAAGTCCGCTTCTGGACCCTTCTGAGACTGGGAAGCTAAGTGACCAGGGAGGCTATCCTGAGCTTTAGGATACCTCATCAGAGAAAACACTAACACCAAAGGTTAGGCTCTCCCTACTTCTAAGCAGATAGCAATAAAACAGGTCTTGAATAAGTCCAAATTCAAACACCCTGCCAATGAAGGAGATCATTTGTGTAGCTCAGGGTTGAAATGAGGGGTCCTTAAACGATAAAGGAATGCGAAAACAAGCAATTTGAATACATTATAAATTTTGATAGCAATGTGAATTAAGATGAATATTTAAAATGTCAATTGTAAAGAGAACAACAATGTTGAAATCACGTAAGCGGTTATTATTGTAAAGAAGAATGAATAGAACTTGTTCGCGATGAACCTCAACAGTTGGAAATGTGAAAACAAGTACTTTAACAACATTATTAATTATGATAACAATGTAAATTAAGATGAATAATTCAAATGCTAATGATCGGGAAAAAAGGAATTAGAGACATACTTCCGGAAATGAAGAAAGATGGTAAACAACTGGAATAGTTGAAACCGAGGAGAAATACAAGGCGTAAAATGATTTTATTTGTAAGTAAAATTGAAAATTATCGTTTTATTTTATGGAAAGAGAAGAACATGGCAGAAGTTGAAATAATAAGATATGGTGAAAAATGACTGATTTGTGATATAGGATTGTATAAAAGAGATGAATATTGAAAAAAAATGGGAAGATTAAAATCCATTATAGCTATGACAATGTTTATGTACAAGATATATAAGATGTGATCCGGTCAACACTCTGTTCATAAAATATGTATGATGAAAGAAAAAAATAAATAAAACTTGTATTAAAAGAAATGAGGGATCCTTAATGCTGTCTGAGCTTGGTAGTTTTCTTGCAGACATTTCATTACCCAAGATAGGTAACATAATCACCATGATTGAAATTCAAAGTGTCCATATTTCTCTAATTCAGTCCAGATACCAATTCCCATACAGGTAGTTCTTGACTTATGACCACACTGGGACCCAAAATTTCTTTGGCTAAGTGAGACAGCTGTAAAGTGGTATAGGTAGTATTTGCTGGTTTGGCGAACCAGTTAAAATTTCCGCTACTGGTTTTCCCAAACTGGTCTGAACCGGCTGAATACCACCTGTAAATAGAGAACTACCTGTACTTGCCATTCTCTTTGCATCTTTCCTAATTTCCTTATTCCTTCTCTTTTTTGCCATATAGGGAAGTGTGGGTCAACCAGGCCTTCCAGGGCCTTTGGGACACAGAGGAGTGGCTGTAAGTATTGGGTTGTTCCAAAACAGAACAAATTAGGTTCCATCATCACTGCTATTGTGAATACGGAAATTTCATATATAACAAAGAAAATTGCATAATAAAATAATAATAATAATAATAATAATAATAATAATAATAATAATAATATGCAACCCGTATCAAACATTAGCACCAGTCAATGGTATTTGTGACATATTTTTAAATGTCCAGTTGACTGAGTTTCATTTTTAATGAATAAAATATTTAATGAATAAAAGATAATAAATTAATAAAAATATGTAAAAAATTATGGTGGCTCAGCAGACTGATAGCATTGTGATTAACACCAGCTGCTTACCAGGCTCAAGGTTGACTCAGCCTTCCATCCTTTCTAAGGTAGGTAAATTGAGGACCCAGTTTGTGGGGGCAATAAGCTGACTTTGTATAAATATACAAAAGTATGAAGGCTATTGCTTAACGCATTGTAAGCCGCCCTGAGTCTCCAGAGAAGGGCGGCATATAAATCAAATTAAAAAAAAAAAAATACGACTTTCCTATATCCAAAAAGTAATGGGAACATAAAGTGGAAAAAGTTATAGAAAATGAGAAGGTGAAGATCTTGTGGGACTTTCGAATACAGGCAGATCGTCACTTGAAACACAACACGCCAGATATCACAGTTGTGGAAAACCACAATGTACAATTTATTGACATCGTGGTACCAGGAGATGCCAGAGTCGAAGAAAAAGAACTGGAAAAAAATCATGAAATATCGCGACCTGGCCTCGAAACTACACGGCTATGGATGAAACATGTAGCAGTGATACCCATTGTCATCGGGGCACTTGGTACCATGTCCAAGAATTTTATAAGATACACCAACAAACTGCAGCTTCCTGCGATAACACCAGTGGAACTGCAAAAAGCTGCGCTACTTGGAACATCGTACACCTTAAGAAGGTACTTAGTTGATCCCTAGGACGCTGGCAGCAACTCGTATCAACCATTAGCACCAGTCAATGGTATTTGTGATGCATTTTTGAATGTCCAGCTGACTGAGTTTCATATTTAATGAATAAAGATGATAATAATAATAATAATAATAATAATAATAATAATAATAATGATGATGATGATGATGATGATGATGATGATGATAAAAGAATTTTGATCACGTGATCATGGGGAAGCTGTAATGGTTTTAAGTATAAAAAATGGCCATAAGTTGCTTTTTTCAGTGCTGTGTTAACTTCCAACGGTCACTAAATGAACTGTTTTAAGTTTGAGGACTACCTATACACACACATAAAAAAACCTCTACAAATAACGTTCCATCGCTAAGAAAGGAAAGAGAGAAAAGGGTTAAATTAGGCTCTGACCCGCTTTAAGACGGGTGGCTGCTGGTCACAGATTTCATCTCCAAGTTAAAAAACTGGTTCAACTGAATTCCCCCCACCCCCATTTCTCCCTCCCCCCACATCCCATCTTCCAAAAGTAACCAGCAGGAACATTTCCCTTAGTCACAGAATCCTTTCTTCCTTTACTTGGGGGTGAAAACCGGTGAATGAAATAAGGCTCTGCCGGAAGGCCAACTGCAAACTTCTGCCACTCTCACATTGGCTGCAAAATTCCCTGCAAAAACCCCACATGGGGGAGGGAATGCTGGCCTGGGAGAATTGTACAGTTGAAGCCTGTTTGGGGGGGGGGGGGTGAGCCAACAGCAGTTCCTCCTCCCCTGCTGCAACCTTGGGCCACATTGGAGGGACGCAGCATCGTGTTTCCTTCTAGATACAATGCTCGTCTTTGTGCGCAGAGGTGTTCTCCCTGCCCGCTTTGGGCTCCTGAGCTCAGCGGTGGACTCACATCAATGCCGTCTGCTCCTGGCACGCCGGGTGGACCTGGGGGGCCCCGTGGCCCAGGTTCTCCTGGCGGACCTTGCTAAGGAAAGAAAGCAAAAAAAAAAAGTGTTATTTAGTGGAGGAAAAAAACTCTAGGAAAACAGAAGAGCTGAACCGGTTGCATTTCTTCTACAATTGCAGAATTCCTTTTAAGATTGCAGAAAATAGGACTTCAGTAACAGAGTGGCCAATGTCTGGAACGCACTACCTGACTCTGTAGTTTCTTCCCCAAACCCCCAAAACATTAACCTTACACTGTCTACTCACCCCATTCCTAAGACGTCTGTAAGGGGCGTGCATAAGCGCACCAGCGTGCCTTCCGTCCCTGTCCTAATATTCCTTTTTACTCTTACTCTTTTCATGTATTCAAATTATGTTTATACTTTTACCTGTTATCTTCTATATGCTTGACAATAAAACTTATACTATACAATTGCAAGGCAAGAGGAAAAGAAAGAGACGTGGGTGGTGGAAAGGATCTTTGGATTACAGTCACTGGGACCTTTTTCCCTGGAAGAGGATGGAATCTATAGCAGGGGTCTCCAACCTTGGTAACTTTAAGCCTGGCCGATTTCAACTACCAGAATTCCCCATCCAGCTGGCTGGGGAATTCTGGGAGTTGAAATCCACCAGGCTTAAAGTTGCCAAGGTTGGAGACCCCTGATCCAGTGATGAAATCCAGTTTTTTTTACTACCGGTTCGGTGGGTGTGGCTTGGTGGGTGTGGCAGGGGAAGGATACTACAAAATCTCCATTCCCACTCCACTCCAGGGCAAGAATACTGCAAAATCCCCATTCCCTGCCCTCTCCAGGGGAAGGATATTGCAAAATCCCCATTCCCTCCCCACTGCAGGGAAAGGATACTGTAAAATCTCCATTCCCTCCCCACTCCAGGGCAAGAATACTGCAAAATCCCCATTCCCTCCCTACTCCAGGGCAAGGATACTGCAAAATCCCCATTCCCTCCCCACTCCAGGGCAAGGATACTGCAAAATCCCCATTCCCTCCCCACTCCTGGGGTAAAGATATTGCAAAATCTCCATTCCCTCCCCACTCTAGGGCAAGGATACTGCAAAATCCCCATTCCCTGCCCACTCCAGGGGAAGGATATTGCAAAATCTCCATTCCCTCCCCACTCTAGGGCAAGGATACTGCAAAAATCCCCATTCCCTCCCCACTCCAGGGCAAGGATACTGCAAAAATCTCCATTCCCTCCCCACTCCAGGGCAAGAATACTGCAAAATCCCCATTCCCTCCCCACTCCAGGGCAAGGATACTGCAAAAATCTCCATTCCCTCCCCACTCCTGGGGTAAAGATATTGCAAAATCTCCATTCCCACCCCACTCTGGGATCAGCCAGAGGTGGCATTTGCCAGTTCTCAGAACTACTCAAAATGTCCGCTACCGGTTCTCCAGAACCTGTCAGAACCTGCTGGATTTCACCCCTGCCCTGATCTATAGGGCTATGCAAGGATCGGGACCCGAAGGGCAAACTGCAAACCAAAGCAGACCTGAGGGTGCCCACCACCATCTGTTAAGCCAAATATATGCTGAATTCAGACCTCAGCATAACCCCAACATTTTTTTTTTTAACCCTAACATTTGATGGGGCACTGCAGGTCTGAAAGCTCTTCGGAGCCTGGTTGGATCGTTAAAACAAGTCTTCAACCAATCCAAACTGAAGCACCCTAGGAATTGGGTGGGAAAACACAACCTTTGGAAGAACTGTTTCCATGTTTGAGAATCATGCTGCAGCAGTTTGAAAAAAAAACAGGAGAGACTCTTGAGGTTCACCAACTCTCAAGACCCACCGTGGCTGAGAACAGGCTGGAGAAATCTTGCTTAACACTGAAAATCGGAGGGAGATGCCAGGAAGGGACAATGATGACTCCAGGGACCCAACCAGACTTTTTGGGCATTCCCCAGGCCCACCCACTCAAAAGCCCGACCAGCATTCAGTCTAAATAAAAATAATAAAAAAATGCTGCAGTGCAATTTTATCCAATTGATTGAAAGGTTCAAATACATTTTTGTTTTGAAACACTCAATCCTTCCAACAGCAAAAGAGAAGAGAGAAGTTGACAGTAATATTTCAATTGTTACTTTGTGTTGCAACTCCCCCTTTAGCACCCAGAGGTTGGAATTGTATCTCACTCAGTGGAGGAAAAAAATCCCATTTTTTTCATTAAAAAAATTTGGGCCCTGGGACTCATTGTGAAATGGGCATAACATTTTCTCTGAATTATAGTTCTAAAAACAAGGGGCTTCCCCCAGTGGCATGCAGCTTGACTTGTTTGCTTGAGTTACCTATTTCTCATGCAGATCTGTCATTTTTTATTATTTTTAATAACAAGGTCCGGCGAGAAGATGAAAAAAAGTAATTCAGGAATTTAAGCATGTCACAGAAGTTATAGCTTTCTAAAATAGGATTAGTACTTATGAATAATTATATATATTATACTCAATTAAAGAGCTAAAGTGAACATGGGGCCTATCTTTTTTTAAGCCGTAAAGCAGCTTGTAAAATAGATAGCCCTTAAAGTATGGAACTAGTCAGCTTTTAAGTCTTTGCAAATCAATTAAATATTTCTTCTTTACATTTAGAGAGTTATTTCTTAATTTTGCAGTTCTAAGTGTTGCATCCCAATATATTGGGGGTGAAGGATGACACCCAAATGAAAAAATGCTGCTCCAAATACCACAACATTGTTTGGCTGTTTGGCTGTGCACCGCCCTGAGTCCTTCGGGAGTAGGGCGGTATAGAAATCTAATAAATAAATAAAATAAATAAAATAAACATGGAAGTGGGCCAGATTTCTGTTAGCAGGACTTTTACTTTAATTTAACTGTTAAACCTTAACCCCTTGTTTGTGGGCACCGAACAGGCCTCTTGATAGGTAAATTTCCACTTAATATTTTCTAGTTGAATGGTAAGAACAGCTTCATTTTTTTTTAAAGAGACTCTTTAGAGGTGGGGGGAGTGTAGGGTGATAACATCTGTGAAGTAATACAAGAAATTTATGAAAAACTAAATGAAAACTCAATCTCGGGAAAGGAGAAGACATGAGAAAGAAACTCAAAATAACTCCACTTTGATTCTGTTTGGCATAAGAGCAGGTAGATTGATATTCTGATAGGCTTTTAAGATTCTGCAGTTGGATCCCATATCAGAAAAGTAGCATCCTGAAATCTTTACTGTCTGCTTCCTGAATTTGCCTACTCTGAAAGGCAGACAAAGAAAGAAATCAATGGTGCCACATAAATCCCATTGGAAGGGTGAAAGAAGATTCAAAGAGTTATTATTACATTCTGGGCATTTCACGCTTACTCTCGTTAGACTCAGTGGGATCTACTTCCACAGAGATTTTAAAAAAGAGATTTTAAGGTTGTGGGGACCCTTCTGTGTTCAATGCTGGATTTGCTCTTACAAATCTCTGGCAAAGGAGCTCCAGCCTCTGTAGAAAGATCTCTAATAGATAGACTCCCACCCCCTAGTCTGCTCCATCATTAACAGCTTTAAGTCTTCTAGAGATTCTGTAGATATGTGGACAAAATCTATTTCTTCACAAATGACAATGCCAAATCTATTTGAACTGAAAGCCTGTTTCGAAGGTTTAACTTGTTTGCAGAATAAGAGGGTGGGGGGAGATGTTATGAGTCTCAATTGTTTTTGGACATTTCAAAACAGGGTACAATTGTCTCTCCTTGACTCTCGACTTGAAAATATACTTGTGTGTATGTGGTCTACAGATGTGTTACTAAGTCAGAAATGAGCTGCAAACAAGGAACTACTGTGGTCCTCTATATGGCTGCACTGCCAATGCCTACCTCTGACCCCAACTGAATTTAAGTTAAATTAAATCTGAGAATTCAAATTTAAGAAGTGTAAAGCAATTGACTTCAGGCTTTCTAGGATAAGCATGATTATATATGGATAGGGAGAGCAACAAAATTGCTTAAATGAAGTCCAAGATGTCATAAAATATAAGCACACGGTTCTCTCCCAAGTTTCACTTTGTGAATTCGTCAGCTAGAATTGAATCTTCATTCAATCTCTTAATTAATTAATGCCATGCATCGCAGAGCATTTGCTTTCAAGGGGAATCAAAATCCCACCAGTTCAAAAGGAACACTTAATTCCTAGTTGCATCAAAAAGTTGAGGCCATGGTCTTCATGTTTCCACTTTTGCTTCATTTTGATTGGGAACTGCCCAGAGTTGGTTGGAAGATGGGCAGCTATATAAACGTTTCAAATGAATAAATATATTTAAGGGTGATATTTTGCATCCGGAATGTTTGCAAGTTCAAAGAAGAAAAATGTGTGCGAGGGCTACTGAACTTAAAACACCACCTTTGCAGTAAAAGGTTTCCAGCAGGTATTTGAGGAGTGAATGGGCCTTTTTGTCCTTCTGAAGCTACCGAACAGTACTTTATTCTTTTTAGAAAGCAGCACCCAACTCTAGAAGAGGGACTGAAGGCATCGTATAAATGGGCACAGATATCCTGAAAGCAACTTTCTCCTTTTTAAAAGCAATAAACTTTCATAATCCTTGCTGCTTAGGGAGAAGGTTGGTTTTGAACTCAAATGAAATGCAATTTTAATTTGACTCTGTTCAACCTCTTGGCTGCTATCAAGACAACAGCCAACTTGCTTCTAAACTGCAGTCAGAAGAGAGTTATTTCACTGGACAGAGCCTCTCTGTTCTTGCTGAATAACAGAAGATTATTCACAGGAAATATTGGGGACAGACAGGGGAATGGATGCTGTAGGCTTCCATTGTAACTGTGTTCTCTCACCTCCTGTTCTGCCTTTTGGGAACAGGTAAGGAAGTTTATATCATGTTCCAAAAGTGATGTTTTTATGGGTTTCCAAATGAAGTTCATCTTAAATCTACCTCCCACCACTGCCACCACCCCTCCGGCCTCTTAGATGGGTCTGGTTCTATATCCCAGATTTTGGATGGAGACCTGTCTTTACCTACCTACATTCTGCTCAGAATTCTGTAGGTATTTTAGGAACTCAAAAAATGCTCCATAGAGTTTGTTGGGGCTTCTTATCGGCTAAGCGAGAAATAGTTTATTCACCCAACTGAGCAAAAGTCTCACCATAGCAGTGTGATTTTACACACCCGCTTAGAAGCAAACTTGGTACAGTTCAATGGGATTTATTCCCAACCAAGCACACATAAAGACTGCAGCCTAAAAAAACCACCTCAAACACATATAAAGAGGAAACCTAAAGAAACCAATCCCATTAAGTTAGAAGTAACTAACTTCCAAGAATGACTAGATCTACAGAAGGAATACAAAGTCAAACAAGAACAATTTTCTCCTCTGACCCCTGAAACACACACCAACACAAACTAAAAACAATCAAACACAGAGTCTGAAAATCCCCAGGGCTTTCCAATGACACAATACTGATTCTAAGGCATGTAGAAAAGGATGTTGACATGTATACATTTGCACTGATCCATTGTTTTGTCTACCCTGGATTTTCAACAGTGATTATTGTTTACCCAAATATTCCCTTTCAGGCCATCAGCAATACCTTCTATATCTCTCCCAATACATTTCCAGAAATAATATGGGGGGGGAAAAAGAAAAACTTACCAACTGGCTTAAGGAGAAGACAAAGCTTTGGAGAAGGAAGCAGAGATTCAGCAATCTAGCCATATCAAGAAGCTTCAAGCTAGGACACAGCCAGCCTTTGAACGAGAAGAGCTAAGAGGAGCTGAGAAAGTTAGGAAGGGAGGTGGGAACATTAATATTTAGCATTTGGGGAAAAGGGGAGGGAAAGGTTGGAACTAAAACGCCTTTCCTTACCACTGACTGAGGCTATTCTATCACCCAGGTCTTCTCACAGACTGCAGGCAGGAGTTGGAAGCAGGCAAATATTTAGAAACAAGAGGAGGAAGGGAGGACTAGATGGAAAAGTGTGGAGCAGCCAGCTATCAAATTCCACAGTTACAGCAAATTGGTCACAGCGATTGGCACTAGAGAGATTTGAAGCTGGAAGATGGGGATGTTTTTTTTTTAAAAAAAGGTTAATCATCCCTGTACTATTTAACATGACTTCTACATTCTTTCTTTCCCTGCCTTCAAGTCAGTGTTGACTCCTGGCAGCTGCCTGGCTTCAACCTGCAGTTTTCTTGGCAAGATTTTTTAAGATTGCCTGCTTCCTCAATGCTGGGGGACAGTGGTGGTTTTCAGCTGGTGTTACAACTGGTTTGCTTCGCACACACGCTTTGCGTTTTGAGAAACACCCAATGTCATCCAGCTGGCTTTCTGTCTAAGGCAATGTTTCTCAACCTTGGTAGCTTGAAGATGGGTGGACTTCAACTCCCAGAATCCCCCAGCCGGCAGCGCCGGCTGGGGGATTCTGGAAGTTGAAGTCCACCCATCTTCAAGCTTCCAAGGTTGAGAAACACTAGTCAAAGGCCAGGAATAGAACTAGGGTCCCCTCATTACTAGCCTGATGTCTTAAACCACTAGACCAAGGGTCACCAACTGTTCGGACCTCAGGGACCACTAAATTCATAACTTTAAATCCCGTGGACCACTAATATGATTGGCATAATGGCCGGCTGGGTGGGCGTGGATAGGTGGTCATGTGACTGGGTGGGCATGGCCAACTTGATGTCACTCATGTCGATGGGCACCTCGCCAGCCTCTACACGCCCCTCCCCTCCCAGCCACTCCTCATCTGCCCGCCCGGGTTCCTTAGGGCCCCAACAGGAAGCAGTTGTTGGAGCTAAGCAGTCACCATGAGAAAATTGGCAAAACAGCTGGCTCAGCTCAAATTGGATCTGACCGAGAAGGAGGCTCAGCAGAAGCACCTCACTGAGGACTACAAGCATAGGCTTTCCAAGCAGAGGGAAGCCACTCCTTGCGGGAGTGCAAGGCCAGGTACTGGCACAGCAGGCTGAGTTGGTCAGACAGTTCCAGGCCATGATACAATCTCACTGGAACGAGGCTCTCCAGCTCTTCGCCACCATTGGTGCTTCCCTCCAGCCTTCGCCCAAAGCCCCACACCAGGAGGCTGAAGCAGACCCCGATTTGGAATTTCTGCCCCCCTCCGACCCACACAAAAAGACCCCAAAGAGGAGACTCTCTGCAGCAACACAAACATTCATTGCACGTATCTGTCCCAAGGGCCGTAGTTTGAGGACCCCTGATTTAGTGCAATATAAAAAATGCAAATTATTTTTCTGCGGACCACCAAACTTTTCTCATGGACCACTAGTGCTCATGGACCACCAGTTGATGACTACTGCACTAGACCAAACTGGCTCTTTAAAGTAACATTATAACCATCCCATCCCTATTAGGGACGTGGTTAGCAGGTGAAACTGAGGCTGAGAAACAGCAGTTTTTCTAAAGCCAGACAGATGTTCCAAGGTTGGAAAATCCAGTTAAATCAAATAGCTTAAATTAGTTCTTTAGGATAAGGACACATATGTGATATGCATTACATCATTTCATCAACCATCATCATGTATGCAGTGTTTGCACTGTGCAAAGGACGTAATTTACATCAATTGGATAATCACACAAGCAATGCCAAATATCATACATTTACTACAACATTGGCATCCTTCAGTCTCAAGAGACTATGGTATCGTGCTCTGGAAAGAGGTCCTAAAACGGCATCTGGTGTGACTAAAGAGGCCAATTCGAGAGTGGCAATCCCTTCCACACTGAGGGCAGATACATTCCGTCCCATGCCCAGACCCCAGATTTCGCTGGTTCCGGGACTGCCTTTTTGCCTCTGCCTGTCGAACGAGTGTCTCTTCGAATTGGAGAAGGCCAAGCTGCGTCTTTAGCCTCCAAGCTGAACGATCGGAGGTCAAGGTTTCCCAGTTGTTAATGTCCATTCCCAGGGTCTTTAGGTCCCTCTTGCAGATATCCTTACATCGCAGCTGTGGTCTCCCTCTGAGGCGCTTTCCCTGCACTAATTCTCCATACAGGAGACCTTTCGGAATCCGACCATCAGCCATTCTCACGACATGCCCCAGTCAGCATAAACGTCGCTGTTTCAATAGTGTATGCATGCTGGAAATTCCAGCACGTTCCAAGACTGCGCTATTTGGAACTTTGCCTTGCCAGGTGATGCCAAGAATACATCGGAGACAGCGCATATGAAAGGTATTCAACTTTCTCTCCTGCTGTGCGTAAAGGGTCCAAGACTCACTGCAGTACAAGAGTGTGCTCAGGATGCAGGCTCTATAGACCTGGATCTTTGTATGTTCCGTCAGCTTCTTATTAAGCCATACTCTCTTTATAAGTCTGGAAAATGTGGTGGCTGCTTTATCAATACGTTTATTCAGCTCAGTATCTAAAGAGAGAGTGTCAGAGATAGTTGAGCCGAGGTACACAAAGTCATGGACGACCTCCAGTTCTTGTGCAGAGAACTGGAGATACATTTACTATTATTTAAGGAAACGGGTTTTTTTATGAATGAATTCACACAATGCATTAGAATAGGATAGGATAGGATAGGATAGGATAGGATAGGATAGGATAGGATAGGATAGGATAGGATAGGATAGGATAGGATAGGATAGACTAGACTAGACTAGACTAGACTAGACTAGACTAGACTAGACTAGACTAGACTAGACTAGACTAGACTAGAATAGAATAGAATAGAATAGAATAGAATAGAATAGAATAGAATAGAATAGAATAGAATAGAATTCTTTATTGGCCAGGTGTGATTGGATACACAAGGAATTAAGCCTCAGTGTGGTTCATTTATGTATGGTACTGCATGGACTTAGCCACTGATACCTTGTTCAACAAGCTGTGGTTAAGGAATGCTAATACATTGAATGAGCATAGCTACAGCCAATACAATTGCTATCATATTCCATTCATATTCAGTTTTCTCTGTAACAGATTACTATTCCTATTAATACTATTCCTATTTGAGCCATATTGGTCTTGTGGTTAAGGCATCAGGCTAGAAAGCGGGAAACCCTGGGTTCTAGTCCTGCTTTAGCCATGAAGCCCAGCTGGATGACGATGGGCCAGCCCCTCTCTCTCAGCCCCTCTCACCTCACAGGTTTGTTGTAGGGAAAATAGGAAGAAGGTGTCATGGCTGCATCTCTCCTCTCTAAGCTTCATGAGCTGACAGCCTGACATTAGCAAGGTGGGGAGAGGGAAAGATTGAAATATAAGGAGGAAGAAGGGGGGGATGGAAGCCCAGCTGAGCCTTGTGAGAAGCCTCAGCCAGCCAAGGTCAACCATCAGTATGCAGAGCTGGGAACCAAGAACCTGTTTCCTAAACAAAATACAACCACCTAATTGGATATTTACAGATAACGGGGAGAGAGGGAACTTTCCTTTGTGTTGTTTGCGCGGGAAATCCTCAGATTCAGCTTACGCTACTTCTGTAACCATTTAAGCTTCAGTAAAATACTGAATTTCTTGGCAAACCCAAATGGCCAGGACCCTTTCATTGCTGGATGAGTGAGTGGGACGGCTGACATTAGCTGTGTTGGATATGATCGCTGCCTTGAGTTGTTTGCAAGAATAATAAAGGTGGAATACAAATAAATACATACATACCTTCCTTCTGAGATCAAAACTTTTTTTCCCAGCTGTGATGGATCTGACTCTTTCTGCAAGGGGTAGACAGCTGGCAGAAAGCAAATTGTGAGACTCATAAGACATTGACACTAAAACAGCCTGGATTCACACAAGATACAAAACAGGAACCAATCGAAAAACAAAATGAGCGCAATAGCGCATTGTGTGAATGCAACTATTAGGTTTATAACTGAGCAAGCTAAGTGCATTAAGCAAGCACAGCAAATGCTTTACATATTAGCTTTATGCGTACACCAATGGTGAAATCTGAACCGGTTTGCCACTGGTTCGCTGGCTGTGTATGCGCGCTGCATGCCACATCGTGCATGTGCACTACGCACCAAAAGGAGGCTTGGGAAGGTAAGTAGAACAACGAGGGGGGGGATCAGCTGTGCCGTGCAATTTAGATTCACTAGAAAGCAGGATTTCCTGCTTTCTAGCGATTTTAAATCACGCAACACAGCTGATCATTGGAAATACCAGTTCAGATGAACTGGTAGCTTTTTTTTTACTACCAGTTCGGGTAGTTTTTATCACTTTTATCACATTTTGTATCACTACCGGTTTGCCTGAACCGGTGCGAACCAGTAGTATTTCACCACTGGCGTACAGTCAGTGACACTGTTGTTTGTAAAACAAAATTTATGACTAGCCATTATTTCTGAATTCGCTATTATGTCTTATTCAGCAAACTGGGATTTACATGATCTGTGCATATAGACAGGCATCTCTGTAAGGCTTTTCACTGAAAAAATTCTCTGAAGTACCAGATAATATTAGACATCTAGTTATGAATGTATTCACACATCATTAATCTCTCATCACCCTTTTGAAAAATAAGCTAATAGCGGCAGTCAATTTTAAGCTGCATCATCTTTAATTCCTAATAGGATTAATAAGCATTATCTTGACGAACTTCAGGGCAACACCCATTGCACAGGGGGAGTTATGCACGTCGCCTATTTCAAATCTGAACATCCTATAAGACAACTTAAGCAGACATTAGATGCTTAGCCCCACAATACATAGTACCACCCAAAACTGGAGATTTGTGGGTTTACACCTAGTCCTCATTTAGCGATAATTGGGATGGGCAACATGGTTGTTAAGCAAAGTGGTCATTAACTGAAACTGAGATTATGATCTTATTTCAGCTTTGCTTTGTTTTACAGACCTGCGAAGATCATAAATCTGAGGATTTGGAAATGGGAGCTAGGTTACTTTTCATCACTGTTATGACTGCAGTCACTAAACAAGAGA